GGTCCCAGTGTTAATTCTTTCAAGTATTTCCCATGTGATTTGATTTTTGTTCATGAACTCTTTGCTTATCCTTATGTCTTCAATGCTTGTTTTTCGTTCTTTCTTTTTTTTAATGTGACTGTAGAGAGGAGGAAAGATTTTTCATTCTTTGTACCTTCAAGGTATTGTATTAAGCTGATTTGATTGTGCAGTCAGTAACTGGAAGAATTACGGGTTTCCTCAACCTTTCAAGTAGGATTACATTTAATCCAGTTGGTGCATGTGTGTGTTCGGTTCCAGCCTGGGCATTATTTTCATCAGTGTGCCCTCATCCCTGGGTTGTGGCAGCAAGAAGGCACCGTGAAGGAGCTTGAAGTGGAGCCTCGTAGGTCCTGTGTTAGCAGGGAGAGCTCCGCTGCCTTTGTGTGGAGCCCCGCACGGAAGACTAGCCATCTGTGTGCCCAGTGGCTTCTGATGTACTTGAAAACTGGAATTTCACGGAATACAGTTGTTTCAAGACTCTAACACAAAAGTTTCAGTGTAGAAAATCACCAGTAGGCATTACAAAGGAATTGGTTTCCATTCCATTGAGTGTTTACAACAAGAATGGACTTCTGTGCAGACACCCTACCTCCCAGTACCGAGGATAAGCCTAGGGCCTTGACACTGTGTCAGTCTCTGCCCTTTTCTTTGTTTTAGACACTTTTGCTAAGTCATTGAGTTTCCTGGGCTGGGCTCAAAATTGTGATGCTCCTGTCTGAGCCTCAGGGTACTGAGTGCAGCACACAGCCCGGGGCTGGCTGGTTGTGTTCTCTAGGATCTGCTGCTTCGGGCCCACTGTCATGCTTCTTTCGCTGCTCTGGAGGCTGGCAAATGGCTGAAGCTGCAGGGCTGGGGTCACAGTGGCCTGTGAGCATGTTTCCTTTCTAGAGGTTCTACTTCATTTTTACTCTGCTTTCCTGGTTCCTCAACCACCTGCTCTTGCTTCCCCACGGAAGTGGGGGATAACTGTCACAGTTGTTTTATAGGAGAAATTATCTCAGTCACGTGGAGTCGCTGGCACTGGGTGGTGTAATTATGTTGAATTGTTGGGTCTTCAATTATTTATTTATTTGGAACAGGATCTCGCTACGCACCTTGGGCTCTGGTGATCCTCCTGTCTCAGCTTCCTTGGCACTGGGAGTGCAGGCATGTGCCACCATGCCTGGTTTGCGTGGCTTGCACATCATGCCCAGCATTCTGGGGCTAGCATGACATGTGGTACCAGGGATCAACCCGGCTCCTTGCACTTGCCAGGCAGGTGCTTAGACTGCCAAGCTACCTCCTCAGCTGAATTACTGGGTCTTGCTGACCTAAGCTCTGAGAAAGTTTTATTAAATCTGCTAAGTAAAAGTTTTAAGAAATCTTATAAGCATTTATTCTTTCTGTTCTTTTCAGATTTTAGAAATTAACTTCAATTTATTTTTTAAACAGGGCAATGTATTCCAGGATGCTGTCTTCAATCAGACTGTTACCGTCATTGAAAGAGAGGACGGGTTAGATGGAGAGACGTGAGTGCACGCTGTCCTTGATCTTGATCTTGGGAGGTAGGCTGGGCGGTGCATGCGGATTCTAACATGCATGCATGCATGCGAGGCCCAGCGTCAGGAAGGAGCGGGCTGCAGATTGGCGAAACAGACCTTCGCAGGTGGCGGTGGGTGCTGTGGCACTTCCTCAGGCCGATCTTGGCCTATGCTGTGTCTCATGTACCTCCAAACTTGCTCATTTTATGAAAGTTTATTTTGAAGAGCAGTGTTCTTTTTAAATAATCAGTTACTGTGAACTAAGGTTATATTCAGTGAAGTAATTTTTAAATCCAGTTGTACACAATAGTGTAAAATTTAAGGCACAAGTTAATGCACTTATTTTTAGCTATGCTTAGAATAAAGTTTAAAGCATTAAATAATTTTATCCCATTTGTTTCCCTCTCAGGTTGTGTGGACAGCTGTCTGATGTGCTAGGGTTACAGTGGTAATAGTCATGGTATTTCTTATGCGTTAAAGCCAGTTTGTGGTTTCTTTTCCGCCAGGATCTTTATGTATATGTTCCTTGCTGGTCTTGGGCTTCTCCTAATTGTTGGCCTTCATCAACTCCTGGAATCCAGAAAGGTAATCCGCCAGTTGCTTTCACAGCCCCACCTCAACTGTTGTCACAGTGCCTAAGTACAACCTAGTTCTTCATGGCTCCTTACACATGTGAAGCTTTTTTGGGCCTTTTGAAAATGAAACAGGGCAACCCATTTCCAGATTTTCTCCTGTCTCTCATGACTTATTTCATTTCCCGATACGTTTTTCCCACTCTTAAAAAAAAAAAAAAAAAATTAAAATGAAACGCAAAGGTGAGACCTTGGATATGTGATTTTAGTTTGACTTGTGCACATGTGCCAGTAGTGTCCTTAGTCTCCTGCACCCTTCCGAGTGACCTTTCTGTCTTACTGTAAGTGTGAATTAAGCAAGAATTCTTTCCCCTCAAATTCAGTAAGATTTTGTTTTCTGCTTAGTGCAGTTTTTCAAGTATGTTATTTTTATTTATTTCTTTAATCTTTTTGAGACAGGGTCTTGCTATGCAGTTTAGGCTGACCTTGAGCTCACTTTGTAGCCCAAGCTGGTCTCAAACTTGCAAAGATCCTCCTGCCTCAGCCTCCTAAGAGCTAGGATTACAGGCATGTGTCACCATGCCCTGCTTCATATGTCATTATTCTAAGGAACTTGGCTTTTAGTAATCTTTTTTTTTTTTTTTTGGCTTTTAGTAGTCTTAATACGGGGATAGTACTCCCCTTAGCCTACCTGTACCCTGCTACTAGAGCTTGAGCCTAGGGAGTGCTGTGCTCCATCTCTAGCTTTTTTATATTTATTTTTCATTGTTTTGCTTTTCGAGATAGCCTTTTGCCATGTATTTCAGGGTGGTCCCGATCTCACTATGTAGCCCAAGCTGTCTTCGAACTCACAAGAGCTGCCTTGACTTCCTGAATGCTGGGCTTACAGTTGTGCTCCTCCTTGCCTGGCTTTATTTTTAATTTTGAGGTAGTCTTGCAAGTTTCCCAATAAATTTCCCAGGCTCACCTCAAACTTAGGATCCTGCCCCAGCCTCCTGAGTACTTGTGCTTACATGCACATGCCACCTTGACAGCTCAATTAGCAGACGGGGCCTTGCATTTCAAGAGGAAGTAATTTGGCTGCAGGTGTCCTGCTGGTCAAACTTGCCGTTATGTGACTAGGGCGGTAAAGCAGCAACAGCAGAGTGCCTGCGTCATCTGTGGCTCTGCCCTGGGCCCATGGCCGAGCCCCGTGCATCTGTGTGCCCCTCGTCCCTATGTCTCTCCTCAGTCCTGTTTCCCCCACCTGCAAACAAAGCACTCAGCTTGTCCTGTTCTATGGGAGACAGTTCAGCCCGTATCAGACCCAGTAACAAGCAGCTTAGAGCCTGCGCGTGGCTGGCCGCACAAGGTATATAAGCTTCAGCTGTTTTCATCACAGTTGGATGCTGTAAATTTATGTACGCAGTGTGAGTGCGTCTTCAGGTTCATGTTCTATGTAAATGCAGCACATTTTAATTAGTCTATGTGTCCAGCATCTCATTTGTGGGTATAAATAATAGGTTTTGTTCTTTTACATTTTAAGATTAAGGCTAAAGAGAGATTGTATTTTCCATTCTGGTAGTTCAATTGCCTAATACTATAGAAAAAAAGTTTTAGGTTTTTAGATTAAAGTGAGATTGTTACTTTAAATGAGGTTTTTTTTTTTTAAATTTTTTTTTTTTAACATTTATTTAGTGTGTGTGTGTGGCCAGCTCAGCCCACCAGGGGGCGCGGCTGGCTGGCATGTGGTGCTGGGGGATTGAACCGTGGTCCCTGTGCTTTGCCAAGCTTGTTTCAAGTAGGTGCTTTAGACCACTGAGCCATCTCTCCAGCCCCCTAAATGAGGTTTTATATTTTTATCAGTGCTAATTATTTTTAGTTTAAGACTGTGCATAAGGGCTGGCCAGATGGCTCATCAGACTGACGTGCCTGCTTAGGTAGAACCCAGTGGCTAGGGTTTGATTCCTGGTGTCCCTGTGCTGGCCCCACCCCTGGGGCGCACAGAGACCGCAATTGAGACTGGGCGTGTTGGCGCGCGCCTATAATCCCAGTGTTTAGGAGACTGAATTACTATGAGGTGAGTCTGTGTAGTGAGACCCTGCGTTTATGCAACATTTCACTAATTACTATGAATTTTATTGACTGGAAATTTATCCTAATTTATTTTTTTCCTAAAATTTATTTATTTGGTATAATATCTTGCTATGTGTGTTGTATTTGGGGATCGAACCTAGGTCCTTGTGCTTGCCAGACAGGCACTTAGACCACTGAGCTATCTCCCTGGCACATGAGTTAATATGACTTAAAACTACAAATACAACAACAAAATATGCAAATTGAATTTCTTGGTTAATATTTTAAAACTGTTTAACAAAACTCCTTTAAAGTATATGTGTGTGTGTGTGTGTGTGTGTGTGTGTGTGTGTGTCTCCGTGTGTGTCTCCTCTAGCGTAAGAGACCCATCCAGAAGGTGGAGACGGGGACGTCAAGCCAGAACGATGTGGACATGAGCTGGATCCCTCAGGAGACCTTGAATCAGATCAGTAAGTTTCTGACAGACTTGGTGAGAAGGTTTCTTCTTGAGTGAATATTAAATATGTTAGATTTAGCGAAAGAATTACTTGGGTCAGTGCTGTTTAGCATTCACCTTTTCTATGGGCTGGGATGTGGTACAGAGATCAATATAGACTTTAAGTATTCTGTTTATAGTGATTTCTGTCCTGTATTTTAGCAGTACTTTCAAATCTGCAGCTGATTTACACACGCGTGAGTTCTCTGTTCCTAACCTGTCTCCTGTCTCTTTCTTTCCTGCTGCTTCAGTGCAGAGTAGAAGAGGTGAGGTGATTAATGTTTTCCTGATGTTTGCTGGAGATACTGGGGGTGCTTACCTGGTGTGTGACTGCTTTACTACAGCAAGTTGCTGGACATTGGGAAGGATTTTCTTATACAGAATCTTCCTGGAAAAACTGCTATTTGGAAGAATAAATCTAAACTATTACTGATAGTTCCCTAATAAATACATATTTTATTACATGGGCAGTTTTCTTCAATACTAATTTTTAGGAAGAAATGTAGAAAATCTTTTCTAGTTGTTAGATTTTTTATACATATTTATTATATAAGAAATATAAGGGCTGGCCAGATAGCTCAGCAGACCAAAGTGCCTGCTTAGGCAGAGCACAGTGGCCAGGGTGATCCCCGGCCTGCTGTGCAGGCCTTGCCCTCAGGCGTGCTGACACAGTGATTAAGACTGGGCGTGGTGGTGTGCACCTATAATCTCAGCACTTGGGAGGCTGAAACAGGAGGATTGCTACTAGTCCTAGTAAGACCCTGTAGACCCTGCACCAAATACATTTAAAAAGAAAAAGAAACAGCATAATTGTAAAAAGAAAATCTCCCATTTTACGGCATTTGTGTGTTTCATCCAGCCATATCTTTATGCTCAAATTGTTAGAACTTCGGCTGTTAGGATCCTCGTTTGGGTCCTAACCATTTGGTGTTAGAATGGTCTCTTTCTTGTTTGCTTCCCAGGCTAATCCAGACTTATTTTGTACTTTCTCTGTCCTAAACCTCAAGCTTACAATGTCTTTAAAAACTCTTGAGCTGGATGTGGTGGCACACCCCTGTAATCGCAGCACTTGGGAGGCAGAAGCAGGAGAATAATTTTGGGTTCAAGACCAGCCTGGGCTACAAAATGAGCTCAAGGTCAGCCTGAACTGCATAGCGAGATCCTGTCTCAAAAAGACAATAAATAAACAAACAAATATTCCTCATGTGATACTAGAAAGTAAAGTCTCAAGACTTGGAGCTGAAAAAAAAAAAAAGACTTGGAGCTGGGTGTGGTGGCACAAGGCCTACACAGTAATGAGGCACACACGTAGTCTTGGCATTCGTGTGAGATTCAGGGGAACCTGAGCTGGAAAACAAAGACCCTGCTCAGAAAAGCCCTCCGGAGTGTCGTTGGTTTAGGGCTCACTGTTTCTAAGCCCTTGAGTTAGAAAATATGTAAGTTTTCAAAATTACGAAATAATCACGCTCTTTTCAGTTCTGCCTAGTGGTGATGGTCCTACAGGCTTGTGGCCTCTAGGGCCTGCCCTCACCCTCGACTCCTGAGAGCTGCCGAGGAGTGCAGTTGCGGCCTGCTCTCGAGTTTCCGGCTGAGTGGGCCGTTGTGGGGCCTAAGAATAGAAGCTGCTGGCCTGGTCATATGTAAGAGCCACTGTGGACAAGATGCTGTCCTTGGAGCTTGTGAATGAGCCAGGTCACAGGTGATGTAGGAGAGATGGCCATTTCTCAAGCTAGGCCGTGGGCCTGACCCGAGGAAGGACAGAATACAGGAACCATGGGAAAGGGGAGTGGGGAGCAGGGTGCTGCAGGTGTCTCTTCCCCTCCTCTTCTAGCCGTCTGAGCCCATCCCAGCATTGAGCAGGGCTTTGCTGATAGTTTGCATTTCAGAGTAGGCGGTTTCAACATCACCCAGGTATTTTAACTGTAAAGTGGTGGATGAGCTGATTTTCATAGAAAAGCATAGGAACCTTGTTTAATAATAATGTTTTAAATGTATACCTAGGAAAACCCTAACCAGAAACTGAAGGAGTGTAGCTTTTATTTTCTTAGTAAGGGATCAGTTAGAAAACTTGTGATTTAATAAGTATCACTAATTTTTAAGAAAGTCGTCTCAAAATTACTTGTACCATGCCCAATGGTAAGATGGGAAATTAAATTGCAAAAGGGATGGGGCAGCAAAATTTAGCTTTTGCTTTTTTAAAAATGAAAAACGTAGGGGTTGGGGAAATGGCTCAGTAGAATAAGTGCTTCCCAGGCAAGCGCAAGAGCCTGAGTTCAATCCCCGGTTCTGCCAAAAAATAATAAATAAAACTTCAAAAAAAGAAAAACATTGCATGCAGGGCCGGCCAAATGGCTCAGTGGATTAAAGCACCTGCCAACAGGCGCAGTGGCTGGGGGTTCGATCCCTGAGCCTGCGATCCCTGGGCCTGCCATGTCAGCCCTGCCCCCAGGGTGTGCTGAGATGGCAGTTGAGACTGGGCATGGTGGCTCCAGTCTGTAATCCCAGCTTTTGGGAGGCTGTAAACAATGGATCCCTATGAGTCCAATTTAGTAGTGAGACCCTGAACACCCTGTAGACCCTCCCTTCCCTAAAATACAAAAAAAAAAAAACAAATAAAATCAACATTGCATGCAGTAAGTTACAAATTTACTGTAATTAATTTGGTGGGTTCTTTTTTTTAATGTGTTTAGTACAGGGTCTCACTATACGGATTGGACTCATAGTGGTTCTCCTGTTTTCAGCCTCCCAAGCACTGGGATTACAGGCACAGGCCACCATTTGCAGTCTCAGTCACTGTCTCAGGGAACCCTGGGGCGGGGCCAGGGATCAAACCCCAGTCCCTACAAAGTGGGGTTTTAAATAATGTCTTTTTTAATAATGTTTTTTATCGAGAAAAATAGCATTGAGACATTGAGGTTAGTAGGACAGTAACAATAATTGCATTGCATATTGTTCTTTTTTTTTTTTTTTTTTAATCTTTTTGAGACAGGGTCTTGCTATGCAGTTCAGGCTGACCTTGAGCTCACTTTGTAGTCCAAGCTGGTCTTGAATGATCCTCCTACCTCAGTGTTCCAAGTGTGGGTTGGAAGAGGGGAACGGGAACTCATGAAGGCTAACCCTTTCAAAGTTGCCTTAATCTTCCTTATCCTCTCCATCTCTGCAGGGTTGGAGGGTGGATGGACCCTCTTTAATATGAAGGAATGAGCTCTTGCATTGTTCACCTTTGTCAGAACATCAGAAGCTCTGGGAAATTCCAGTTAATTATTTAGCAAGCCTTTGGCTAATGAAAGAATAAAACGGAAAGAGAAATGCTCTAATCCTTCAGAGAGGCAAAAGCATGAGGAGATGACGCTGATTTCAAATAGTTGGGTCTGTTTGTGTAATTTTCCCAGGATCCAGGGCTGGGAGTACACAGGTGTGCACCTCCACACCTGGTTTTGCCTTGTGTTTTGAGACAGGATCTGTACATGTAGGCAGGTTGGCCTTGAACTTGTGGCAGTCATCTTGCCTCAGTCCCCCAGGAGCTGGGGTTATAGGCGTGGCCACCACGCCTGGCCTAAATAGCATCTTTTCAGTGAAAAATGTAGGCATTTTCAAGTCTTCCTCATTCTAGATCATTGAGGAATGATGTTCATTTTTACAGTCACGGGGTTTTTCATCCAGTTTTAAATTTCACTCTTGAAAGTTACAGTTTGGTCGCTGTTGGACTTTAAAAATGTTTTTAGGTTGATTTTGGAAGTATAGTAAATGGGAAATATTTTTTATAGTTTTTATAGTTGTAAACTTACACTTCAGTGATTCTTGTGTGTTTAAATAAGATGCTTCTTTCTGTGGTTTTTTTTTTTGTTTGTTTGTTTTTGTTGTTGTTTTTGCGGGAACCAGGGATTGAACTCAGGCCCTTGCACTTGCTAGGCAAGCGCCTCTTCTACTGAGCCATCTCTGTGGCCCAATACCTTCTGCGATTGTAAGCTGCTTGGGAGCATTTCGTCAATAGCAGATGATTCCAGCACACCCCTGCTGCATCTTGCCTGTCTGCTTCTCCCCTTTGATGTGCCAGATGCTAAGCACACGGGCAGAGTTGGTGGACGCAGCGCAGTAAACCTCGTGGCTGCTCCTGCCGGTTCGAGCCTGTGCTGAAACAGGCATTGAAGGCCAGTTTTCATGCGGTCCTGGGGTCAGAACTGATGCCAGTGTTTGACGTCACTGGAAGTGTATGTTCACCCTCTCACGTCTGTGTGTGAACAGTAATGGCACGTGTAGGTGGCGGTTACATGGGAGGGTTGTGTTCAGATTTCGCTTACTTTAAGTTATTTGGAAATCTATCAGCTGCGCAAGGGCAGTCAGTCTGGCTGCTTTTTGAAGTCTGAGAAGTTGTAGACTTTCTTCATCAAGAAAATGCGTCTATGCTTTAGGCAAGGGAAGAGCACCCCAAACCCACCCATTGCTGCTGACCTGTTTACTGTGTTAAGGGCAGTTTTTATGTGTGTTGTAGATTCACTCTTAGTGTTGAAGTCCTTAACCCTTAGATTTAAGAGAATTTCCAGTCTTTAAATGTTAATCCTGTCCCCCCTTGTGGATTAAATGCAGGGTCTTCCTTGAGCATGCTAGGAACCTTCTACCACTTAGCACACCCTCACCCTTGCATAGGTTTGTTTTGTTTTGTTTTGATTTGAGCTAAGGTAAGTGGCTGTCCTTGATTCTCCTGCCTTGGCCTTCTGAGTATCTGGCATTGTAGGTGTGCACTGTCATCCCCAGAAGTCCTTAGATATTCTTGATAAACATTTACTATAAAATTGTAAAATATGGGAGAAAGTTTTTTAAGATATGACTATTGTCTGTATCTTACAGGAATTATTTTAGTTCCTTTCCATATTGCTGGGACAAAATACCTGACAGCCACAGTTTAAGATGGGCTTATTTTGGGTCACATTTCAGTCCATGGTCAGCTGGCTCCTGGGCAGGACAGCACAGCAGAGTGGGCTGGCTGACAGGAATTGGGGGGAAGGGAGGCGCTGACATCAGGAGTGCCCTGGCTTCTGAGTAGGCTCCCTCCACACTGCCAGCCCTGCTGGGGTCGTGAGGCTTTGAGGACACCAGGATTTGAATCCAAACAGTGATCTAGTGATTTTGATAGAGAAAAGATCTTTTAGGCAGGGTTTTTTTTCTTTGCCTAAAACATTTACAAGTAAACCTCATGCTTGGGTGAAAGTAGCTTTTTTTTTTTTTTATCTTTTCCCCTTTTTTAAAAACTGGATAGATGTCTGGGGAGGGGGTAGCAAGGATCTCCGCATGCTGCCCAGGCTTATGAAGAACTTGCTTAAGTGATCCTTCTGCCTCAGTCCCCTGAAGAGCCGGGACTACAGTCCCATTCCACTGTGCCCAGATACATATGTTAGTGGTTTTTATTTATAACACAGTCCCTGGTGTGTTACTGTTAGACCTGGTGGGTAAAGTTCTCAGACAAAATGAAGAAAATAATTAAAATAGAAGATGCATCTCGCCTTTTGCTTTCTTTCTGTCGGTAAATAGATGTAAACAGGAGTAACACAACACAAATTTATTTTTTGTTAGGTAAGATTTAGGAGATGAGAGGGAAGTAAGGAAAGGATACTGCCCATGTGCACGGAGTGGGCTCAGCGCTGCAGTGCTCACTTCCTTTATTTCGTTGCTTATTTCGGGTAGGGTTGCTAACAGGCTCCACGGTTGCCCCAAAGGCTAAATCGGTCCTCGCTCAGCCACGTGCATGTGTTTGGGCTGCATGCGCCATATCTTTCAAACTGTCTTCAGGTGCTTCCTTATGCATGTGTAGGCATAGATTGGAGAACTGAAGATTTTGTGTGGGGTCTGCAACATTACCCAAGGTCAGATGCTTTTCCAGCCCTAAGTGCAAAAGTTCCCTTGTACTGGGGTTACCTGTGAGGGGCTGCGTTACGGGGATCTGTACAGCCTACAGCCGAGCAGAGGCCTCACCGGCCTTGGTGTGGGTGCGCGTGCAGGCGCGTGTGTCTCTTTCCGTGTTTGCAGTGAAGATGCAGAAGTGCCTCTTGGGTCCGGTAGTGCTCAGAGCTCAACATGTCCTCTTCTCTTCCAGACAAAGCTTCTCCACGAAGGGTGCCCCGGAAGCGGGCGCAGAAGCGGTCGGCGGGATCTGACGAGTAAATGTCCCCGTGTGCAGCTGCTGAGCCTGTGCTTGCCTGCCCTCGTGTGTCGGCCTGGCGGGAGTGGAGCAGAGACGCGGCGCCCAGTAGGCGCCTGCTCCTGGAGCGTGCGCCGCGCGTGTGGGATGACATGGCTGAAATGCACTGCATTCATTTTTCTAAAGTAACGAATTGGTTTTTTTTAAACCATTAAAATCTGTGTGTGCGTGTGTGCGTGTGTGAGCAGGCGTCTTACCAGAATCATTGTTGAGCTACCTGGATCATGCCTTTAGAATACCGAATGCAAGCCATTGTCTTTCTGACAGTTTCTGATATTTGACCCCAAACTGAATGGATATATGCCCCCAATAGGATTATTTGTGTCCTGCCCTGCACTCTTTTTTTTTTTTTTTTGATGTGTGTGTTCTAGTACAGGGTCTCACTACGTGGATCAGACTCGTAGTGGTCCTGTTTTCAGTCTCCCACGCACTGGGATGGATTACAGGGTGCCACTATGCCCAGTCTCAAGTCACCATCTTGGCGCACGCTGGGGGCGGGGCCAGCACCTTACACTGTCTTAAGGAGATAATTTGTTTCTTCCTTGAAATTGCTCAGATTAGCATTTTTCTTTGCTTTCTTACAACTGGTATTCTAAAGGCATAGTCAGGAGTGGCTGCTTTTGTAGCAATAGAATTGTTTTGGTATTTTTGCTGCTGTTTAATGCGCACCTTCAAAAATTTCCCCAAATGGATGCAGGAAATTTGGGGATATCTCTAGCAACAAAATTGTGAAACATGAAAATTCTGCTGACTTGGATATATAAAGCCCTCCCCTCCCCCCTTTTATCTAACAAAAAGAAAATGGTACGTTTGTGCGAACTGAGTTGTGTTGTCCATTCCTGTTTTGGCCCAGGGTGAGCTCTGGAACGACCTTGGACTTACGTGGGGTGTGGGTTTTGGTTTGAAGAGAATTCGGTTGCCCTTCATAGAAGAAGCCTAGGAGAAGCCACTGTGGTCTGCAGCCAGGCAGATCACGTTTTAGGGACAGAGTTAGATTTCAGCTAATGGCGATCTGCAGAAACAGAAATTAGAATTTTTAAAAGTTCATTTCTTGTCTGATTCTTTGAGTTTTGGTGGCTAACATACCTTTTTTTTGGTTAATGTGGAAAAGTAGCAAAATGAGACTCTCAAAGACGTCAGGGCCCTCTTCGAGGTCACTCTTACCTTGGTAGTCTGCTATGTTTGGCATTGTCATCAGAAGTGAAGTCTGAGCAAGTCGGAGGCCCCACAGAAGCCAGTCCCTACCCGGTAAGAGCAGTTCTGCGCTCTGGCCCCTCACCTTTTCCTTCTCATTTGATACATCTGCTCGCCTGCACATCTGCACATAAAAAAAAAAAAGAAGGAAAACAGCAAAACCAAATGCACAAACACGAATTCCAAGCTGTGTGAGTCTTGGAATGGTTCAGCCAAAACCGGTGACAGCAGGAGCTTCTCAGACTGTTGTGCACCACCGCTGGTAGTGGCTGTGCTGTCGTCACCTATTCTGGAATCACTGCCCTGCGACCTTTCTGTACTGTAACACAGAGTGTTAAGTTTTGAATTGGGATGTGTGTTCATAAGGTCTAAGTACCTGCATGGCTGTGGCTCACTGTAATGTAGAAGACCCTTCTCGCTGAGGACCATTTTCTGACTTGGTGAAACTCCTAGAACACCCTGCAGTTGGGTGCACACACCGCACTTCGAGGTTCCTCAGGTCCCGGGCGCCTGGCAGTGCTTGGGCCTTTGTCTCACAGCAGCGCTTCCAGCTCTGAGGCGAAGCTAGTGCTCGAAAGGGTCGCTGTCTTATTTGTCACATTTCTTAGTGTAGCTTGGCAGCAGCAGCCACTAACATCTTGAGATGCCAGGGCTGGCTGGAGCGCCAGCAAGTACCCAGCATAAACTAGCTCCATAACGATTGGAATTCAGTTCCACACATGGTTTATTCAAGCACACTTAGTAAGTAGCTTATTTTTAAACATCTTCTTGCTGTGTAAATACTTGGGTAGGCTTTCCTTTGCTTTAATACATTCATCTGCAGGAGGCTCTTAAGATGATTGGCCGGCAGCCGTCCGCCCTCTGAGAACGGAGTTCGTGGCTGCTGTTCCCAAGGCTGGAGGCCGAGGGACAGGGCTGAAGTAAAAATGGGAGGAAGGAGAGGTGGGCATGATGTTAGCAAAGGTTGGTGTCTTCCGTAGCTTCAGAAAATACGGCTTTGCAAGACAGAAAAGCCGTGTGTAGACCTCAAGGAACTACTAAAGCCTCTGCTGGGATGTGCATTCATAGCATATCAGCCTGAAGTTGTCCATCTCATCTCAGGTGGGGAGGAGTAAAGGGCAGTGACACAGCATTGAAACCTTTCATTGAGTTTTTTGTGTTTGAGATAGGGCCCCACTGTGTAGCCAAGTGGCCTCCGAGTGCTGGGATGGCGGGCGCATGTCACCACGCCCAGCCCTGGCTCGCTGCTTTGGAGGTGCAGTAGAAGAATGTGACAGGGCTTGTAGTCTTTTGCACTAAGGTGGCGCTCACATCCCCAGGGTGAAGGAAAATCCCCTTGGCTGTGTGCAATGGCACACATGGCCAGTGGGCGTGACTGCACCATGCTAGGTGGCTGGGCCAGGGCGGCAGCCACTCTGCAGTGCACCATCATTCTAACCAAGGCTAGCAGCAGCCTTCTTGATTTTGTGGTTGTGATTTTGTTCCAAATTGAGGTGGTGTACCTTTAAGGACATCTCCAGAGATCCCCAAGGCCTCCCATGGTTTGGCTGACATTGCTGCTGTTTAGCTGAGGTCTGTTCAGGCTTTGGTGTTCTGAAGTGAAGTTGCTGGTCCCAGCGGAGGGGGCCGCCTGTGGACACCTGCTGTGGGTGAGATGCACTTGCAGTGCGGCCGGCTGTCTCTGTCTTAGGACGAAGTCTGGGCTGGTGGCTGCTGACAGCTGCGTAGGAGTTTCTTTAGGACTGTGCAGCCCAGGGAGCGGGCTCAGCCCTGGGTGGGCTGTGGGGCCGGGGTCACAGATGTGCGCTGTGCCCTGCCTGCGATTAGGAAAGGCCACCGCCTGCACTAGGGTAAGCCTTATTCAGTAGGGCTTCAGAGCTGTCTCCGTGCTGCAAAAAGTGGCAGCTTTCTGAGACCCGGCCACCAAGGCGGGGCAGCCTGTCCTGCCTCATTGTCCCTCACTGTCCTTCCCACTTTGGTTGTCCACAGGCTTGCGATACCTTGCCTATGACCTGAAGCTCTGGTGGGCTGGCCGCCCTACTTCTGGTGAGCCTGAAGGCCCAGCTGGTGCCCCGCACCAGGTGTGCTGGGCCTGGGCTCAGGCAGTCTCCCCATGTTTCCATTCCATTTTGGACTTACCTTGGGTACAGTGAGACGTTAAAAGGAAAGCCCAGTGGACCCAGGCAACATGAAGCGCTTTTCTTTCCAGAACTGGGCTGGTGTTGGGGGCTCGCACTCCAGGCAGCCCCCGATGCCCTGCGCTATACCCGCAGCCCTGTGTCTTGGACAGAGGCGCTTGCTGAGTTGCTCAGGGCTCAAACTTGGAATCTTCCAGCCCAGCCCTGTGTGGAGCTCAGGTTCCGAGTGTGCACCACTGGGCCCAGCTCTTATTTAAAGTGTGCAAGTCAGAGATCGTGCCTCACTGGATTTCCCCAGTGTCCCCTGAGCAACATGCAGTAAGGACAATCTAGTGCCCTGATGGTGGTGTGTCCCCCTGAGCCCTGCAACTTTCCTGGCTGATGGCCCCTGGAAACCAGTAGCTAAGCATTGGAGGAGGGACCAGGGATGTGTGGCGGCCTCCCGCGTGGCCTGCTGCCAGCCCTGGGCCACAGCCCCTGTGTGCTTGTGGCCGGGCAGCTGGTGCCACAGTTCTGCTATAAATGATAGCCTCAGTGTCGCAGGCCGTCTCGTCCCCTGTGCTTCTGTACCATGCTAAGTGCTCTCTCTGCAGCTGACGGCTGGGTTTTGCAGCCGAGCCTCTGCTCGCAGCCTCCTCCTGGCAGGTGAGTGGCTCCCCTGGGTGGCTATAGGCTGGGCTCTTCCCACCCCGCTCTGGGGGCCCAGCGGTCACCTGGGTGGGAGGGATGGTGACGTCCTGCTTGAGAGCAGTCCTCCTTGCCTAATGAATAACAAGGTGTGGTAGCATAGTCGGTGATCCCAGCACAGTGGGGGGCTGAGGCAGGAGGGTTGCAAGTGCCTGCCCAGCTAGGGCATGTAGTAACTTAGCAAGAAGTTGTCTCAAAGAATGAGGGAGGGGCTGGGTTGGTGTCTCTTGTGTCTCGCCTGTCACCAGCACTGGCTGAGGCAGGAGGATCTCGGGAGGGCAAGGCCAGCCTCAGCTCTATAGAAAGACCCCTCCTCAAAATCCAAGTGAGGCACGGTGACAGAGGTGTTGGGGTGTAGCCCTGTGGGAGGCTGTGTGTTCAAACCCAGTGCTGAACAGTGGGTGCTGGGCTTGACAGTGTGGCAGGTCGGGGTGCCTGTTCCTTGGTCAGGCTCCAGCATCGGGAGATAGCAGAGGCAAGCAGTGCCTGTGACAGGCACAGTGACCCATCTGTCCCCTAGGGCACGCAGTCCTGGGGGCCTGGTGAGGGTGTCCCTGTGATGCTTCAGTGTGCAGGATGCGTCTGCGTCCCTGGAATCCCTCTCCACCCTGAGCCGGGCGGCTCCCTTGCAAATCCATCTGAGGGAAGCATCTTCCGGCCTGTCCAGGTTTGAGCCGGGTGGCCTCTCCTGCTGTGGGCTGGGCCTTGGGCTCTCTAGGCCTTGACGACCTGAGGGCCACCCAGGTGTCCCAGTGCTGTCACAGTCGTAGGCCACGGGACATCATGAGCATCCTCAGGACGTTCTCAGTGACCTTGCCATCTTCGCAGAGAGGAAGCGGTTGCCCTCCTCTGGCTGGCTTTCGGTCTGTCAGTCTGTGTCCATCTGTGTGAGAACGGGGTTTTGGCCCCTGGCCCCTCGTGTCAACTGTTACAGTTGCGTGCCTTGTGCTGTGGTGGCCAGTGACCTTGTGAGGCCAACACAGTGCGGGCGGCTTTGATAGCCATGGCCTGCAAGCCAGGGCCACCGAGCAGGCTGTGAGCAGCACCAGGACATCAGAATGACGCCCCCACTCCCCACCTGAAGCCAACAGTCATGGAGCATGGCAGCCACAGCCAGCAGGGTACCCTCTCCCTGTCTACACTGCAGTCCCACGGCGGCCTATTGCCCAGCTTTATTCTGTTTTCCCGTTGTCCCTGGGGCTTCAGCAGCCAGGCTGCAGGCCTGTGGTGCCAAAGTTGGCTCTGGGCCTCAAGTTGCAAAGAGCTTTGAGAATCTGACTCAGGAGATTAAGAAATGGTGCTTAGCACATAAGTAATTACGAAATAAATGACTACCGAGTTTAGCTCCCCTGTGAATTACAGTTGAGTTTCAGTGGTCCCCACTTGAGAATCTAACAATTTAACTTCCGATGTGGTTTCTTTCTCTTTTTTTGTTTTGGGAATTGAGCCTGGGACGTTATGCTTGCCAGGCCAACACTGTGCTGCTGAGCTATCTTCTGGTCTGGAGAACTTTGAAGTAGTCAGAATGTATCCAGTTAGGTCAGAATACCCTGGGTTCTGGCTCAGAAAGTTCTCGCTTCCTGATCGTGGCAAGAGGTTGCCACACTGGTGGGTGCCGCTCACCTGTAATCAGTGCTCGGGACCGAGGTGGGAGTGTCGCCTCGAGTTCAAGGCCAGCCCAGCCTGAGCTGCACAGTGAAACCCTGTCTCCAAAATAAATAAATTAAATAAAAGGGAGAGAGGTCTTGGATTGGCTTTGTGCATGTGTGTGTATGTGGTGAAGGTGGGGTCAACTGAGGATTAGACCTGGGGCCTCCAAGCCGAGCTATATCCCCAGCCATTTCTTTTTTTTTTTTATTTTTTGAGAGAGAGAGAAAAGACATGTCTCACTAAATCACGAAGTTGCCCACACTGAGCTGGAACTGGAAGTCCTCCTGCCTCAGCCTCCCAGTGCTGGGATTACAGATCTGTGCTGCCACATCAGATTTTAGTTCTAACACTTGATGCTCATATGTGATTGTGGGCAGCACAGTCCTGTCAAGTTTGTTTATTGTAAGCATTCTGCAATGTGTCACTTTATGTGGTGACTGTTGGAACTGTTTTGTCTCTGGGGTCTGCATGTAGTGAGCATTCTACCGCTTGTGGAAAGTATTCCTGCTCTTGAAAGATCTGGACACAAAAATTTAAGTCTGGTAAGCCCAATGTGGCAGCGAGCGCCTGCCTTTCTGGATGTTTCCACCAACCCGCCTGCTGCTCCGCCACCCGCTGTGGGCTGTGGGCTGTGGGCTGTGGGCAGTGGCGTCTTCATTCCCTAGCCCGTCACAAAGGCCGCTGGGAAGTACGTGTGACTGTCGGCACTCAAGAAGCACAGAGCTTGTCTAGAATAGTACGAAGCAGAAAAAAAAGTATTAAAATTGATCATAATTTCCCCCTCGAAGCCGTTTTAAAAGCCCACGCACTACTTGTGACATTTTGACACTGGCAGTAGCAGAGGGCCCCTATGGTGTCCTGGTGCCTGAAGATGGGTATGGCAGGTGGGGGCTGTCACGGCCTCCCATGTAGCCAGGACCCCACCAGCCACAGGTGCCTCCCCCACCCCCTCGTGGCTGTGGTGCACGGAGACCATGGCGCCTGCGAGAAGCAGGGAAAGCTGTGCTGAGCCTGTCTGCTGGTGAGTACCGTGTCTGGGATTAGTGCATCCTTCCTGGGGACAGTCCCCAAGGAGGAGGTGCGCTCTGTGGGAAGCAGGCGTCATACCTGTGTCACATTTTCAGTCCAATATTTAATTGCAGGTTAACCTGAAAATTTAAAAATGTACGTCACAGAACTGAACCAGTATCAGAGCTAGGGTGCTGTGCCCTTTTTCCTCTTCAGAATGATTGTGGCGTGCTTATATTTTATAAGGGAAGCAATAAATGCAAATGTTAAATTTACCCTGGCCTCGTATGATAAATATAACCACAGTGCTTTTGGACAGCTTTTCTGTGGCCCAAGTTAAAAACAGCCAGCTTGCAATTCTTGGCTGTATTGGTGCTTATCCAGAGAAGATCAGATTAGGTGTGTGTTTGTGCGCATGTGCGTGTTCACGTGTGGTGGCATGGCCCCTGGGACTTGGCACACCCTATCCCCTTTTCACCTGTAGATGTTGTTGGTTTTTTTTTTTTTTTTTTTGGCAGAACCGGTGATTGAACTCGGGTCCTTATGCTTGCCAGGGAAGCGCTTATTCCACTGAGCCATCTCCCCGGCCCGCCTGTAGACCTTTTGAGACTGCCTCTCACTATGTTGCCCCATTGCCTGTGCTGAGCTCGGATCTGTGATCCACACGTCAGTGCTGGGACCCTCAGGCAGGTGCTCCGAAAGGAAAGGAACAGCCAGCTAGGGACTGCAGAGCGGCGCAGGGCCGGAGCCCCTGCCTGCCAGGTCTCGCCTTCTGGTTTTGCTCCCTAGCACTGGGAAGTTAAAGCAGCCTGCAGCACAAGACAGGATGGGACTCCCGCATCTGCAGGCCTATGGAGACCCCCGAGAGGTGTAGGCGACTCTCCCAGGTGTGCAGAGCTGGGAATGGGACAGGAGGCCGGGGTGGCCCTTGAAGGTCTTGCCTCCCACCCTGGGTCAGGCAGGATGTGAAGGGTGAAGGCGCCAGCATCAGTCCCAACACTTGCCAGCCTGGGCTTCTTAGAAGGGACCGTGGCTGACCCATGGCTCTGGGTCCCAGGCTCCTGACCAAGGAGGTGGCCTGCTGCCTGGCTGTACTTTGCTGCCCTCTGCTGACCGCCCTTGGCATAGCAGCCACAGAACAGTCCCAGTCCCAGTGGCCTTGGGCTCCCAAAGCTACCTGCCTGAGCCACGTGGTGGGGGGGTGTCAGCAAAGTTCCTTCAGTGGCTTGCATGAGTAGAAAGCCTGTGTGAGCTGAGGAGGTAGCTCAGGCTCTCTGGGCCACCTGCAGAGCTGGCCATTGCCCGTGTAGTTGCAGTGACAGTGAGCAGTAACCCTGTGACAGTAATTGTGGTACAATGTGGCTGGGTCACTTTAAAGACACTGCATCCCCCAGTGTGCTCGGAGGCTGAGGCAGGGTGATGGGTATGAGCTCGAGGCCAGCCTGCGCTACGTGCTAAGCCCCTCTCAGAAAACCAAAGAAGTGAAGCCACCGCAGGCTGGAGGGCCACCCGTCCAATGGTGGCCACTGGAGCTTGCACTGGCCCTGGCAATGCTGGTTTCTTGCCTGTCATTAAGTGTACTCGCTGTCCGTCCTGCTCAGAAGCTGTGGTGGCAGGTTTGTCCCTGAGACAGGGAGCCAATATTCCAAGTGACATTCTCTCCTACTGAGCTGGGCCCCAAGGGCCAGAGAACATGGGAGAAACCGAGTGTTCTCCTGGCCAGCCCTGCCCCAGACATCGCTCTGCTGTTACCACTATGGGGACACTGGCCTCAGCAGCTGCCACCCTCCCGCCCCCAAAGGCTCCTGTTGTCACTCAGCCTCTGCAGCCACTGGGTTTCCTGGGAAAATGTCCTCTTTGTTTCCCTCACACAACTCTGTATCTGAAGAGAGCCATCACTTCTGGCGTCTTTCAGGCCAGGTGTGCATACCTGTGATCCTAACTGCTCAGGAGGCTGAGGCAGGGGGTTGGCAAGTTCGAGGCCACTCTGGGCTGCATATTGAAAACCTTTCTCAATCAAGGGAGGGAAGGAGAGAGAGAGGGCGGGAAGAGAGGTGGACTTAGCACTTCCTGGGTGCAATCCTTGTATGGACAAGGGGGAAAAAATCACCTTTTAGGGCTGGGGCATAGCTGGTGGTAGAGTGCTGGGATTTGCTAAGCTAACAGGCAGTTTGAAAGTACATTTTCCTAAATAGTCCTACTGGGTGATTTTGTTTTCAAAGAAACCCTGCCTTCATGGAGATGTTGGGAACCTTGTATATCTTATTGGGTTATAGAAACGAAAGGGCACACAGGGTATTTGAGATAGTTTTCTGTCTCTGTCTCTGTCTCTGTCTCTGTCTCTGTCTCTGTCTCTGTCTCTGTCTGCAAGACAGGGTCCTGCTGTGTAGCTCTAGCTGGGCTCAGGCTCCAGGGCTGGGGATCACGGTGTGCCCGCAGGCCTGGGTGGCTGCCCTTGGTGTGTCTTCAGCACGGCGGCCTTCCAGGCTGTCTCCCGCGAGCTTTGGAGCGAGGGCGCATGGCTTATGGTGCCTGCATGGGGGTCCCAGAGTCTGACTCTGGCTCCTGCAGCCCTTGTGGCACTAGCCCTGCCTCTCCTGCGTCTTCGTGGGTGTCCCCCTCTGTGGGACCCTAGAGGCTCCTGGGCCTGCCTTGCTCTCTGCAGTGAGGGAGGCCCTGATAGCACCATTTGCGATAAACGGAGGCCCTGCTGCCTGCAGCTCCCCCAGCGGGGCAGAGGGATGGACACAGGTGGCTGCCCCCACCGTGCACATCTCCCCAGGAGGCGCCTGACTGCCACACGCGTGTTCCAAGCCCAGTGTGGGGTGGGCAGTTATTTCATGTCCTCTCAGCCCTCTTTTGTGCTTCCTGCACCATAGACTTCTGCGCAGGTCCCGTCCACCTCTCTTTTCTCCATCTTCGTTATTATCTACCTATCTTATCTTTAGATTTTTTTTTTTAAAGTACTGGGACTTGAACTCAGGACATTGCACTTGCCAGCACATATGCTTATGCTGCTAGCTATTTCCCCAGCCCCTCTGTCCGTGGGTCCATCTGTCCGTCGGTCCGTCTGGCTGTCTATCTTATCTGTCTGTCTTATCGTCTATCTTGCAGCACTTAGGATCCAACCCAAGGCCTTTGTGATGAGCTACATTACCAGCTCATTATTTTGCATCTTGAGACAAAGTCTTGGCTGAGTTGCGTAGGCAGGGCTGAAACTTGGACTCTTCCTGCCTCGGCTTCCTGAGCGCCTGGTGAACAGCCCACGCCCTGAGCTGGGCTCTGGGGCCATGGTGCTCTCAGCTGCAGTGTGTGAAGCAAGTGTCTTCTTTGCAGCTGCCCCGAGCTGCCTCTCTGGTCGCTGAGCTGGTGTCCCCCATCCCTGTTACCCAGTCACCTTGCAGGTGTTTGCTGGTGTTTGAGGGCCAGGCTTGGAGTCTGCCTGAGTGGCAGGGCAGCACAAGGACGCTGTGTCCTCATCTGTGCGGTGCCTCAAGGGCACTGCTGTGGGTTGTCCTGCTGCTGGTGGTGGGGACAGTGTCACACCGGGCCAGAGATGTCCCTGTCCCTGACTGCCAGGCCCCAGCTCTGAGCCCCACATTGGCACGGGTGGCGCTCAGGTCAGATCAGCAGGGCGAGAGGTCGGAGTGAAGGCCCCAGCGCTTGGATCACAGCCAGCCCTGCCAGCAGTCCCCGGCCCTTCTGCCTCTGCTCCCCTTGGAGGCTGGTCTGCCCCCACCAGGCTCTCAGACTCGCTGGCTGGGTCCCTCTGTGTGATGCTCTGGGAGGTCAATGGCTGCCGCTAGGGACGGGCACTCAGCTCTGCAGGCGCCCACCACTCCTCTGCCTCATACCAGGAAGGGGACAGTGGGGGACGGCCTGTTAGGTCACCTCTCCCTTTGCTCTTCCAGGCGCAGGAAGAGGGAGACGCACTGATGGCCCCACTGCCTCTGGAAGGCCCTGCACCCGTCCCTGGGTCCCCAGGCCAGTCCTGCCTTCTGCACTGCGAGGCTGCTGTGGAGCCTTGGACAGCACCAGCGGGTCACTGCTGGGGTGGCAGAGGAGGAGGAACAGCTGCTGGGTCTGGAAGGAAGTCAGGCCCTGCTGTGGACTGGGGACTCCTGGGGCCGCAGACGCTTGCCCTGGAGAGCAAGGCCTTCAGGCCCTGGAGAGCAAGGCCTTCAGGCCCGAGCCAGGAGGCGGTCTGGCCTCAAGGTGCTGCCTGAAGGCACAGGCTCAGCCTCCTGGGCCTTTCCTTGTGTGTGTGTGTTGGGGGGGGGGATGCCGCCTGTGCTGCACCCATTGGGCTGAAATAAACTGGTGAGCAGCTGAGGGTTGTGTTCGCATCTCAGCCAACAGCCGGCTCCAGGGAGCCTGGGGAGGGCGAGGTCCCCATCCTGGAACCAGCATGCAGACTCACCACAGGAACAGGCCGGGGTGGCGGTTGGGGGTGCAGCGTGTGTGACCCAGAGCTGGGGCCCTGGGCACAGCAGGATGAGCAGAGAGGAGGAGAAGGGAAAGAGGACACAGGGCCCAGGAAAGGAAAAGAAACTCGCCACCAGAAGACCCAATCCCAGGCGTCTGAGTCACCACAACAGCCCCTTTTGAGACTGGGTTGTAGAATGCTGTGGGTTCCTGATTGGGGGTGGGGGTCCCTGGTCTCCAGGTGGCTATCAGGAGAGAGGGTGATGGCTGCCGGGCAGCCAGGAAAAGGAGAGGGTGACAGCAGGAAACTTGGGGACCACACAGTCCCTTGCGCCCTGCCCACACAGCCCTCCTGGGTTTCTGTCACCTCCCAAACGCTTAAATCTGACTCCCTCTGCACACTAACCCATTGATGAAATTATAGCCCTGAGGATCAAATTAACTTCTGAAATCCCCACCCCGACAGGACCCACGGGACAGAGACATTTTAGGTCCACATCCTGGCCCCTGCTAAATGAGGGAACCTCAGAGGGCAGAAGGGACACTGCGTGGGCTCCCTCCAGCAGCACGCCAGCACGCCAGAAGCCCCAGCTTTGGCACCCAGCTGCAGGCCAGGGGCACATAGCCTTTCTTGTTCCTCTAGCTACTAGGAAGACATCTCCTGAGAAACATCATGGAGAGGATGCGGGGGACTCAGGCCTTTGCCCACCCGGTGTGGCCCTGGTGGTGTCCAGGGAAGGTCTGTCACTTACGACTCTCCTATGTGTTCTCTTCGTGCTCAGAGCGCTCAGTGGGACTTTGGGAAGCTGCTCAGATCATAGGGTTCCTAGCTGGCTATATGGGTGCAGCCTTCTTGGGTGTGACCAGAAAGGATTTGCCCTGTCGCTCACTGGCCCTTCTTGCAGTGCTGCTTCCTGTCCGCCGTGTGTGGAGACTTTCAACGTGAGCCCAGTAAACCCCTTCTGCTTTAAACTGTGGGCATCAGGTACTGTGTCCCAGTGACAAGAAAATTAGACTGCTAGGGACGCCCCCCGTCCCAGCCCTACGGGCAGTAGCTTCACCAACGCAGTGAGCTGCACGAGCTGGGGTCCAAGGCATGGGGGTGCAGGGGGCTGCTGCTCCTGTGTCCTCGAAGGGTCTTCTCCGCGTCTCTAGAAGGACCCTGCCAGGCCATGTGAGATAATTTTAACATTCACGTTCTTCAAGCCCTGTCTGCGAATACTGTCCCAGCCAGTGTGTGTCCCCGGGCCCAGGACTTCATGTGTGAACAGGGAGGGGACACGGTGCAGCCCACGGCAGTGTCCTCCGCTGTTCACTGGATACACGTGCCCAGGGCCCTGGGTGATACAAGAGCAGCCGGCTCTTGAGTTGAAGCAGCCCTTCCTGACCTCACTTTATAAGCAGACAAACGCAACAGATGCAGCCTCCAGCTTCCTGAGCATGCGCGAGACGCCTCATTTTCAGACTTCGAAGCCTGCGCTGGGTGCACACCTGCAGTTTCAGTGCCTGGGAGGCCGAGGCAGAAGGACTTCGAGTCTGAGTCCTGCCCGGGCAACTGAATGACTTAACAAGACCCTTTTAAAATGAATAAAAGTTAAACTTGGCTGAGGAGGTAGCTCAGTGTAAAGGCGCTGGGTTCAGTCTGAAGCGCTCCACCGCCCACAAAAGAGAACTTGGAAGCCAGGCTGCGGCGAGCCTGCAGTCGCAGGGGCTGTTCAGGAGCTCACGGCCAGCCTGGGGACCACGGTGTGACCCTCAGCAATAATTAACTGACTCGCTAACAGCTAACTAGCACCAGGACCCAGCACGCGGGATGACAGTGTAGAGGGTCACGCTGGCTACCCTGGAGCACGAGGGACCGGGTTGCTGGGCCCAGGCTGGGGCGAGCTCGGTGGGAGCAGTTCCAGGCGCCGCCTGCAGAGAGCTCCAGCGGGCCCCGGGTGCCCCCGCGGCGGGGACACCCGGACCGCGTCCCCGGGAGGCCGGCGTAGACGCCAGGCTGGCGCTGCCCGGCTTCGCAGGGCCCGAGGCTGCTGCTGGGTCGCCGCCTTGGGAAGCGCCGCGTGTATCCACACGGAGGAGTCGCTCAGGCTGAGCGCTCGGACGGCCCCGGCCCCGGTGGTCGCGGAATGCGGCGGGCACGCGAGGCGCCCTCTGCCGGGCGCCGGGCGCAGCCCTCCGCGCACCGCCCTGGCCGCCCGTGCCCGCCGGGGCGCCTCCCTGCCCCTCGCCCTCCAGGAGTCGGGCCGGGCGCCAGCCTTCGCAGTAGCCCCCCCTCTCCAACTCCGCTCAGCGTCCCGAACGCGCTATCCGTAGTCCCTTAAGGAGGCGCAGTCTCCTGGGGAGTCCTCGCCTCCTCCGGACAGCACTTCCCATCCGGCCCGGTGCCGAGAAGAGCTTCGGGATCCCGGGGTCACCGAGGGCGGCGCCGCCGCCTAGAGCGACCGCACACACCCGGGCGGGGAATAGGAAGTTCAGCAAAGGGATTGGTCTCCGGAACCTGGAGCTGCAGGGCGCTGCCCGCACCCGGGGTCCGGAGGAAGACGTGCATGGGGTCCCGGGCTGGGGCCTCCCCTTTTCCCCGTCCAGGGCTGAGCCTGCTTTAATCGCATGTTATGCATTGGGAAGACCTGGGGTTCTCAGCCTGTAAAGACAGCCGGTGCGGCCTGTGTGCCTGCACATCTGGGGGTGGGAGTCACAGTCGAACGCACACGACAGTGTGACTCTACAGGGCAGCCTTGATCCCCCACTACACTCCTGCATTGGGAAGCTGAGGCGGGAAGATCTCAGCAAGTTGGAGACAACTACACCGCGAGACCAGCTCCAAAAGATTCTGCAAGTTTGCCAGCCTGAGTAGGGCTCCGTGTGCACCAGAGCCGCGCGGTCCAGGTCCAGTCCTGGCAGGCGGGGCTGCAGCCCCTCTCAGTGTTACTTCCTGCCCAAGGATGGGGCGGATAGTGGCCACACCGGGCTGTGGCTTCTTCCCCTGAGGGTAGCTGGGAAAGAGGGACCGCTTGTTTCTTATTTAGGACACAGACTCTGGCAGCCTGCACCGGCTTTACTGCTGTCAAGGAGTAACCTTCAATTATAAGTTTAAAATAAGCCTGTTGCCCTCCCTCCGCTTCCTCAGGGAGTAGACGATGCAGGGAGGGGGCAGTAGCTGGCGTCAATGACACTGGGCCCTTTAAAGGAGTCTGCAGCCAGGGGTTGGTGGTGCGTGCCTGTGATCTCTGCTACTCCCTGCTACCCCGGAGGCGAGGCCGAAGTAGGAGGAGCCTGATTTCCCGGCCAGGCTGGGCATCTTATCGAGATGCCATCTCCAACGAACCAAAAGTGGCCTTCAGAGCCAGGGATCCCGGAGAGCGCAGTAGCGCCAAGGAGGCCCAAAAGCTTGGCCCGCCACGACAGAGGCTGCGCTTATGAGGCCCTGGCACGGACAGCATGCCCAGAGCGCCCTGTGACGAGCTGCAGTCTGGGCCCTCTGTCCCTCTGTCCCTGAGAACCCTGTACGGAGGAGTTGGTCTCCTAGCTGTGAGCCTCCGCGGGGAAGGGTCATGGAGGGGTGAGCCTCGGGGGACAGGGCCCTGGCCTCCTCTGCCCACAGCCGTGCTGCGCGCCCCTTGTCCAGTGGCCGGCGGGGCTGCTGGGTGGACAGTGCCCTCACAGAAGCTACCTCTCCCTGCCTGTCTGTTCCTGGGATGGGGCGGGGCTGGCCCAGGCCCAGAAGAGCCTGCCTGTCCCTGCATGTCCGGCATGTGGCCTCGCCACCCTGGGGGCTGACAGTCCTCCCTCCTGCCCGAGCCCAACTACAGCAAATCGCAGGGTGGCTGCGGGACGGCACTCTTCTGTTTTTAAAATATAACATTTATTGCTTAGATGGTTCAATACAGAACAGCTTCTTTTTCATTCTGGATTTGGAAGTTCTATACAACTGAGTACAAAGAGGAACAGCAAGTACCAAAACCAAACTTGTGATTCTCTGTTCATGTGGCATAAACCAATTTTGTACATAACACGTAGCAGCAGTTTTTAAGTTCCCTTTAGAAAAATAGGAATTCTACATATTTATTATTGCTTCCTGTTTAATGCATGGGCTGAAATCACTAGGATCAACTTCCTTCTTGAAAGAGAGAAGAGGAGAGACGACGTGGGATGAATCGGTGTGAAGCTGGCATCTGACTGTCTCGGAGCTTCCGGGAGCTGAGTGCAAGCAGCGCCCTGGGCGTTTGTTCTGTCCTCACAGCCAGGCATTTCATGTAGTGATTGAGTCTCAGCACTGTGTCCATTGATCAAAGAGAAAAAACAAAAGAGAAAACAACTTGCACCTCAAAAAACTTTTTAGAAGATCCATATATATATATATTTATATATATATATTTGTAAAAGCCCTGAGAAAAGGAGAAAGAGAATCAAACAAAATGTATAGAAACAAATTAGCTGGACATGCAGACTAAGCTATGATTCACCCAGCGTTTAAACAAATCACAAATTTCACAGTTTGATATTGGGGGAGGGGTGGACACAAACAAAGAATACATTTCTCAATCTCACTAATAAGATGTGGCAAGACCTCACTGACTACACGGTACAGATCCAGGCTAAGTAAAGCTTTAAATCAATAGTGATTCTTGTGAGCGGCTGCCCCAGCTGCACAGGCGCAGGGCGCCGACCCCTGCTACATCTTGCCGCAGTGTTGAGTTCACTCCTGGCTTCTCCCCACAATATCGCGAGTTTAGTGTGGAGACTTGCGAAGAAAAATGAAACACAAGTAACCCCAAATAATAATAACGAAAATAACAACAACAGCAACTGTAGTAACAATAAAAAACTTGGGGATGCATGAACTGGTTTGAACTTAGAAGACACCAAGGGGTCACTGGTTCTGATGTGCATTCACCTACAGTAAATAAAACCTCATTTTCAAACTGGTTCACACACCCCGAAGACAGTTAAGCCTCACGTTCACCTCAACCTCTTTTCATCTGCAAAGACACCTTATCATCTCAAGGTCACCTTCCTGCTGTGTCAGGGTGGCCACGATTTAGCCGCCCCAAGGGGGAAGGGCGGGGCGAGGGCGGGACAGGGGCTCCTCCCAGGCAGGCTCAAAGGCTGGGGCACCCGCGGGCTGGCTGGGGCACAGGGAGCCCCGCTAGCTGGGCCTGCCACAGTGTGTCACCGCGGTGGCCGCCACAGCAAGGGCCGTTATTCTTCTTGCAGGATGCGCACCAAAGAAAGGAGCCTTGCCTTTAGGCATGCGGCTTGGGGCGGCAACAGCAATGTGTCTGTCTTCAAGCACCACCGTCACAGGAAGGGACTGTCACCTCTCACTTCAGCCTGGCCCGAGCAGTTCTATCACCAGTAGTAGTTTTCCTTGCTTTTGAAAGGACAGTAGCACAGGCTGGGGCGAGGCCTGGTGGGGCGCCGGCACGACTACACTGTGAGAAGGCGCCCTTCCCGCCTCGCCTTGGCCGTCCCGGGACAACGGGGAGCAACGGCCTGGGGGAGGGCGTTGGGTACAGTAGAAGAGCTGTCACCGCAGTGTGTGTGCCGGGAGAGCTTCAGGCACACGCACTCGGGGACCAGCGGGGGTGGCACAGGTCTCCCAGGACAAATATTGCCCACATGTTTCTGCTGACTGCAGAGCCCAGCCAACTGGAGAACTAAAAATAATAATAATAACAATAATATTAATATTAATAACATACACCAAGCGGGAAGGGGGTTGACCAGCTAACGCCCAGGCGTGGCTTCCGTCAGTTAAGGCGCTGGGAAGCGCTTCTCTGTAGACTGGGAACTCAGGTCTGGAAACACGGGCAGTGGCATCGTGAACAGGGAAGACTGGAAACACACACGAGGCTGCAGCTGCAAACCCTTCTTGGCTTTGGCCTGAGTAGCGTCGCAGCCTCCATCGACCACTCCAGTGATGCCAAGGACTGGCGCAGAGCTCCTCCGCGCAACGCACAAAGCGAAAAGGTCGGTCTGGGAAACCTGCATGGTGTCCACTTCCGCTCTGGTCACGACAGGAAATTCACATGGTTTTCTTCCAGTTATTGGCTATTGGGATCCAACGCCACTTGTTCTTTTCCTTCTGTTTCCAGCTCACAGAACAAACGGTTCGATCACAGATTCATGAGAACAAGCTCACACACACCAACACACAAGGTAACATTAATGCTCAGGTGAAGAGGCCCTCCCCACACGATTCATTAAACCTCTGCTCTGCTAAGAAGCTGCCCTGGGAGAATGCACGCCCACGTCATGTGACGGTGACGGAGGATCCACAAGTAGTTAAGGCACTGGCACCGGCCGGGCTGGCCTCACGTGCACTCGGCAATGGCACAGCTGCGGCCACTCACTGCTGTCTCTCCTGCCCCGCTCTGCTCCCTAGCAGCCAGAAGACCGCAGGGGCTCATCAGGAGCATAGAGTGGGTGCTCTGCTGGATGTGTGCTGACAGAGGGGAGGGAGCAGCGGTCACTCCATCCCCAGGAGCTGTGAGGCGCTGTCACTGGCCAGGAGGGGATGTGCTGGCCGCTTGCCACATAGCTCCAGCAGGTCCTGCACGAGCGCCGTGGGGCTCTCCGGGCTTGGGTCCCTGGGAGATGCTGGCTCCCTAGGGCCACTCCGGCCTGGCTCTGCCACAGGCCCGGCCTTTTCCTCCCAGTGGCCACAATCCTTCCCGGTATTGGCCAAGCCCTCCTTCCGGCTCCGTGTGACAGCCACAAGGCTGCTAGTGCTGGGAGCCGCCTCGGCTTCGTTCTCTGATGCTGCATTGTTGCCACTGTGGGTGGACTCGCCCTCGCTGTCCTCCTCAACCCGCTCATCCTTGTCGCTGTCCTTGCCATGGTGCTTCCCATGCCTGGCTTTCTGGTGGATGCGCTGGTGGCGAACCAGGCTGTGCTTCAAGGTGAAGGTCCGCTCACAGGTCTGGCATTTGTATGGCCTTTCCCCTGGTGTGGAGAGGAGGCGACAGGGTTAGTGCCGGGCCACAAACCCCCTCCTCCAGCACGGCCCCCTTTCTCACATGACGTGGCACATGGGACAGACACATCCCAGGGCAGCATCCCCTCCTACTCTGTACCCAGATTTTCACCTCCTGACCCTGAAGCCAGCAGCCAAGTCCAGTGGACATGCAGTCCCAGCTGAGCAAAACCTGCAGAAGAGCCCACAGAGGACAGGCTAGGACAATGGTGTCCTCAGGTCAAGGGTTAGGTCTGCCTGTGTTTTCAGGCAGAGGTCCTGGGCTCCGTAGGCTCCTCTGTGGGTAGCCGGTATCAGACTGTGAGCTGAGAGCCTGACACGGACAGGGCAGACGCAGCGAGCAAGGGTGGACGGTGAGTACTGGCAGCTTTTGTTTTCAGGGCTGTTTGTTGCCTTTTATGCCAAAACAACGGGCCCTGCTCTGAGGTCTGCAGCCTCAGCCCAGAAAGCAGCAGCCCAGCTCCACGAGTGGCTGCCCAGTTGCTGTAAGGGGCATCCCTGCGAGGGAGCCTGCACTTGCCTCTCCATGGCCTTAGCCCTGGCCCCGGCCGCGCCCCTTACCTGTGTGGGACCTCATGTGCCGCGTGAGGTCCTGCAGGGACCAGAAGCGCTTGTTGCACACACTGCAGACCTTCTTCCTCTTGTCCGCCTTGCTGGCCACGCCCCTTGGGATATCGGTCTTTGGCTTGTCTTCGTCACTTTTCTCCACGGATTTCTGCTCCATGGCGCCCTCCCCGTCAGAGGGGCCCTCTGTCTCCTCCTGCTGCTTCTGCTCTGAGGCCTCCCCAGCCCCCCGCACTTGGTCCCCGGCCATGGACTCCGCAGGCTTCTCCACGCACTCGGGGGTGGGTGCTGGGCAGTCGTCCTCCGGCGGAGGCACCTGCTTCTGCTCCCGAGTCTCCTGGTGGCCATGCGCCTTGCGGTGGCGGCTCAGCGTGCCCGGGAACTTGAAGCTCTTCCCACAGGTGGCACAGGTGTGCTTCTGGTCCTGCGCGGCCACGCCCTGGCCACCCGCGGTGCCCGCCTCGCCCTCGGCTAGCTTGAAGTCCATCAGCTTGCTGGCGAAGTCCAGGTCCAGGCTCTTGTTGCTGGCTGCGTCTTCCTCTGGGCCGTCAGCGTCCCCGGTGCTCTCCTCGGCACACTCTTCCCCAGGCTCCCTTTTCTCCTCGGGTGCTACCGCCTCCTCCTCCTCCTCCTCCTCCTCCTCCTCCTCCTCTTCCTCCTCCTTAGGCACAGGGGAGATAGCCCCAGCCTGGGCCTCAGGCGGTTCCTCTGGGGCTGGGTCCTGCTCTACAGCGCCCTCTGTCGGTGGCTGCTCTCGGTCCCGGTCCGGTGCCGTGAGGTCCAGCACCTCAGTAGCTGTGGCCGGCATCTCTGGATCCGACTGGCTGTCTGTGTGAGCAAGCACAGTGGGGGGGACGGTCAGGCCGAGCCTGCTGAGTTGCCCGCCCGGGGCCCACCCGGGAAGCTGAGCCCCAAACCTAGCAAGGCTGCTCACTCTGCTCACCACTGGTGAATGGGGTGGGGGAAGGGCCAGCAGCACCCATGCCACCCCCCAGAGGTGTGAGTGACCCAGGCAGCGCAGACAGAGGCTTCGAGACAGCAGAGTGTGCATTCACTAGGGAGGTTGAGGAAGCCGAGTTGGAAGTTATTTTTCCAGTGCAGAGAGATCATACAAACATGCAGCACACGGGGCCACCCCAGGTCCTCTAAAATGAGCTGCACAGCAAGGGACCCCAAGCATGGGTTCTGCATGTGTGGTGCACACACCTGTCCCCAGGAGGTTCAGGGCAAAAGGAAACACGCGTGTTCAGGTTGCACTACACAGGTGGCAAACATTTCAGGGAAACACGGGAGGATACAACTTGAGGCCAGGGGTGTGGGCACCGGGAATTCTGGGTCATTGCCATTGGGTGTCTCCTGCCTCCTGTTGCACTCCTTCTGTCCACTTTGCACAGCAAAATGAGATGTGCGAGGCCCCAAGCCATGGCACTGTGGCACACTGACACCAAGCAGGCTGGCAGGGACACACAACTGACTGGTAACCATCACTTGCTGAGACCAGGCACATCTCACGTGCCTCTGATGTCAGCCGCTGCATTCCATGCCAAGGTGGCCACGTGTGGGGTGAGGAGCCTGCACGGCTCCGGGGGGCCCCAGAGGAGGCAGCGCTCTTACTTCTGCCTGGGGCTTTGGGCTCGCCTGCACGGCACTGTCTCTCTACTTGTGCCTCAAGGAATGCAGGAGACAGCTCTGGTACAAATAGGGCTTTCTTGCATGAAATAGGGCTCTTGAGAGATGCCTTGTAATGTCTAGGACACATTTCAAGGAAACCCTTATGAATATTTTTAATTATTTCAACAGAAAGCACCTATAAAAGGACTTTTGGTATAAAATCTACAATAAAGAGAACCCTTAGCTTATTTGTTGGCTTTGCAAATTGTTTAAATAAAAGTCTAATGTCTGGTTATTTCCACTTTGTCCCAGGACATCCTATACTGGATTTTTCTTCTGAGACAAGGACTCATGTTACTAGGCTGGTGGTGACCCAGGCTCAAAGCTCCTCAGCTTCCAGGGAACTGCGAGTATGTGTGAGCCAAGACTGGCCCAAGCACTGTCTAAACTACATGCAAGATGTTTGTGACAATAAGCCTAAAAAATGAAGCCTGGTGCCACATTCACGTATGTACACTAGAACCACATTGTGCTGCTGCCGGGCCCTTCCCTAAGGTGGACAGATAATGTAACATCCTCCCAGGTACAGAGGAAGCCAGCTCTCTTCCCTGTGAACAAAGGGGCTGCCACCAAACCTCCACTGGGGGGTGGTTCAGCATGTGGCCTGTGCTGTTCGAGTTCCAAGCCAACCCCAACTCATTTCTACTGATTCTTTTTTTTTTTTTTTTTGCGGAACCGGGGATGAGCCATCTCCCTGGCCCTCTACTGATTCTTGGGAACACACAGACCATCTCTTCACTGCCGACAAATACCCGAATGGTAAGGCCAAGCACGAGTTTGGCTGCACTCACCTTAACACCCAGGCTCCTAATGCAAGCAGCCAGCAGGTGGATTTTCACAAGCAAGGCTACCTTAAGAGCATGGATCTGTCCCTCCTCTGTGCTGCTGGTAACCCTTAAGAAAACTGCTGAGGCAGCAGAGGAATCCTGGTAGACACTGAAGCCACAGCGCCCCCTTCAGGGCAGCTCAACAGTGAAGGATCTACCATTCTCTGGAAATGAGATGTTGTTCCGCTGATGCAAGCTGTTCTCAGCAGTTGCCCGCTGCGGAAACTGCTGCCTGCGTTGCCCTGTGCTGGGGGTGTCTCTTGGCCCAGTGTATAGATAGCAGGCCTCCTAGGCTGGCAGAGAGGGCTGGACCAAGAGGGGCCATGAGAACCTTCGCACTTGAACTGACTAAAACCAGCCCTGCCGGGTGCCCACTGCCACAAGGGCTCTGCAGGCACCCAGAACCCTTTCTGAATCAACCTAGTTCAGACAGCTTTTTAGGGGAGAAAGACTGCCCCTCACTGTGGTGTTTTTTAGCACTGTTTTTTTTTTTTTTTTTTTTTTGGCAGAACCAGGGATTGAACTCAGGTCCTTGCGCTTGCCAGGGAAGTGCTTATTTCACTGAGCCATCTCCCCGGCCCCTTTAACACTGTTTTAGGTGAGACCTGGAGTGTTCCTGAAACCTGCTAAGTGACTTAGAAGTCACACTGAAGTTAGGAAATGCACTCTAGGCATATAAACAAACAAACCTCAAGAACTTCTTGGCTATCTCTTGCCTCCTAAAGAAGTCTGTCCCTCTGCAGCCCTGCTTTTAAATTGGAAGGGATTCCTACGCAGCTTTCCCGCCTCATCAGGGCTGTGGGGTGTGTGACCTCCCCTGGCAGCCCTGACAGCCTCCCTCCATGACCTGCCCTGTCTCCTCAGCCTCACCGTGTCTTTCTCACCATGGACTGTGAGCACAATGAAAGCCAACATCTATCTTTTCTTTGCTGGTTTCACATTACAACTTTCAGTGAATTTTCTGAGGCTTTATCCCTTTAAGAAAAGCTATACAACTTCAGGGGCAGGGTTTTGGAAAAACAAAAGCTGTCACTGTAAACTTAAAAAGCAAACATCCACAGGCTAGCAGTTGGTGCTGAGGGGAAGCAGAGTCCCTCGAAGCAGAAGCAGTCGCGGGGCCCTATGTGGACCCCTGCGGTTGAGTAAGCTCTCACGTGACCGGAAGGCCGCGTTGCCCAGCGCTCAGAGTACATCCTATCCCTGGAGACAGACGCAGCAGTCCGCCTCAGCAGTGAGACGCACGCCTCCTTCGGAAGTGCCATGGAACAATCACAAAGCCCCATTGGAAACTGGGCTGCAGCAAATTTCAGACTAACAGGTGCGGTCGGTAGTCAGCAACAGTCACACATGAACAGGTCGGCCTTGGTGAGGCAGCAGAGACCCACCATGGCAGGATGCTCTGACCACCACCGCGCTCTCTGCTCAAAGACCCAACCGTTCATCGTGTGGACTCGGGGCCCGGGGGGAAGACAGGGGGTGGGCAGTAAGGGCAGCCTCCATCTATTCATTCCACCACGGCAGGAGAGGCACCTGGCATCAGTTTGGCTCCTAGAAAGGCTGCCCACACCCATGGGCCGACCCTGGCGCCAGGCAAGGCCAAGGGGCAGGAGCTGGACGAAGGCCTGTGTCCAATTATTTCCGGGGTGGGGCGCCTTCTATGCTATTCAGCCCCTTGTCCCAGCCACATCCAGGGAGAAGCCACAGGAAGGTACCACTCTCATTTTAGAAAAAAACGGTGCAGGGATTCTCCTGGGCTTAGCACAGGCAACAGGGAAGTGCTAGGTTTTAAGCCCTGCAGAACCAAACCCAGCAACTGCAGCACTCTGCAACTGAGTACCTGTAGTAGTCTAGTTTTTGGTGGGTTGCTTTGGGGTGGGGGTGCCACACCCCAGCAGTACAGATGATGGGGTGTACTGGAGGACATGCGGAAACACAAGCTGTAGGGAACAAAAAAGGCACACGGGGTGGGGGGTGAAAGGGCAGTGGTTAATGGCTCTGCAGGGGGCTGGGAGGAGGAAGCGAGCAGCACAGGAGAATAATACTGGGATTCAGGTCAAGCGGAGATGTGATTAAAGAAAGGGCATGCAGAGTGCTTTTTAAACAGGACAGCTTTACACTGGGAAGTTATTGGAAAGAAAAACACCCTGCGCTGCCCTGCCCACCCCCAGCAAGAGCTTAGCATCCCTAGCTCCTTGACACCCTGACATCCCCCAGGGCCCGTCCCTGCTCACCGGGGCTAAACACAGGGCTGCAAACCTTTCCATTGTCCTGGTCGTCAGAGGCGGCACCCTGAGAGGTAGGACCACCCCGCTCCCTGCATGGCCCACATAGCCTCACCACTGTACAAGGAGTCACCGGGCATGGCAGGGCCGAGCCCCTGGCTCCACTCGGGCTAACACCATCTGCTGTGTCTAGGCCGCTCCCAGGCCCGGAATGCTCCCCGTTGGGCTGGGCCCCCGCGAGCGGTAGGAAAGAACCAGCTGGCCAGGCAGGCCCCTCGAGCTCACTACAGCTGTTGGCAAGCTCTGCGTGGAGCCCAGGCTCTCCAAGCTGGGCACTACCTGTGCTATCATGGGGTCCATCACTCTCTGTGGGGGGGATAAGCCCGTTTCTTCTCAGGGAGCAGGTGGTAACTCCGTGTTTGCGCAACTGATGGCGTTCACAGTTAGATTTGGTAGAAAAGAAGGCATCGCATTTTTGACAAGGGAAAGGTTTCTGACCTGAAGCAGGAAAAAAAAAAAATTTATCTGGCTTTCTACCGCAATGAAAAAGAAAAGTTGCTTTTGATTTATTCTCCTGAGGTTATTGGCATTTACTTCCCCCTCTTCTGCCCTTTCAAGAAAAGAAACAAAACACATTAAGACAAAATTGAAACACCAACGACTAAAGTGACAATTTTCCATCTAGTAGAAGGAAGTTCCTGTCTCAAAACACTAAAAGAAAATTAACATCCAAACCAAGGTAACATTTTTGAAGTAAAATAATATAATGAAAGAATATTAAATGACATCATGAAAGTCTCGGCACATGGTGAAACAAGGCCCACATCTGACCTCGAAGGAGAGGGTGCTAGGCCATATCTGGCCAAGTGAACAGGTGGCATGGGGAGACGACGAGGTGTGGGGTGTGGGGCCCTCTGAGCCTCAGGGGTCTCTGAGGCTCTGCAGAGAAGCCAGGGAGTGCCTCAGCCTGACACGGCACTAAGGGGCTGTGGGCTCTTGTAGGGGCTGGCAGGAACACCCAGGCTTGCCCAGCTCTCTCCCCTGGCTGCTGGGAGGTTCCTGTGGGGACCCCTGCCCACCAGCACAAGACGGGAGAACTTCAGGCAGTATTCTCACTCACACCCTGACTCCTGCTGCGCAGCCCTGCCTCTTATTCCCACCTGGGCCCACCTGGCCTGCATGCCTGGGGTGAGGTGTGAACGGTGAGGCAGGCGTGAACCCGGCCTATCTTTCCTGGCTTTCCCTCCCTGCACTTTTCCATTGGGGCCTGCCTGTCTCCTCCACGTATTCAGATTCCTTTGGTACTGTAAATGCAGTGTTTCAAAATGCAATCAAAACCTCTGCAACTCATCCTGGGGTTCGTGTGAATGGACTATGCTGGAGAGAAAGGGCAAGGACCACGCGGTTGTAGATGAGCTGCATGGGTATGGTAGGGCCGGGGAAGGAACAAATGAGGAAGAGCAAGCCAAGGCCAGGGATTGGTGGGTTTCAGGACAGAGAAGCTGGTGGTGTGTCATCTCCTACACAGATGGCTTCTTCCCCCTCCCCCCCAATACCAGATGCTGGGTCCCAGTTTTCAATTTTACAGCGGAAAAGTGTCCTATGGCCTGGTCCTGCTACCTCAGACCTTTGAGGATGCCACAATCCAATATGTGAGCCAAGGCAGGTGTGGTGGCATGCCAGGGAACCTGCTAGGTTCAAGGCCTGCCTGAATTATATAGTGAGAGCTGGGCTCAAATGCCAAAGGAACTGGTGGACTAGCCACAGCCCAGCTCCCTACAGACACAAATTCTGGGACCCTGGGCTCTAGATGCTTATTGGGTTTGGCAGGGCCTGGTGCCAGAGTGTGAGCTGCAGGGGCAGACCATTCCCCAAGGGAGGGAAGGAGGCGCCCCAAATGGCACCACCAGGTGGCATGGCTTCAGGGAATACTACCATGGTCTGGAGGGTGTGACAATGACATGCATGACAGTGCACTCACAGATGGGGTAGCTGCTCCCCTAGCCTGGAAGACTCCTAAAATGAGGGTCCAAGTCTCCCTCATTTCTGAAGCTGCTTAAGAACAGACATGGCCTATGTGTGGCTCAGGGCATAAGCCCAGGGTTCTTCCCCCAGCACCCCAACCCCCAAGGAAAACAAGGTTGAGGGCACTGTGCAAGAGTTCTTGACTTTAGAGAAAACAGCAAGCTTCTCACTTCTCTATGGCTAGATTTTCACACTGGTCAAACGTTCACCTCCACTACTAGGTTGGATAGCCAGGTTGCTTGGCAGGGGTTAAGATGCTATTGCCTGGGCAGGGGTGCTGTCAGGGGACCTGGGACGAGGTGGTCCTATGGTGCCCCAGTCCCAGGATAGCGGCCAGTTCCAGAAGCCAGCCTGGGAGACGAGGTCTTCCCCCAAGTCCTGCGTTACAGCCCTGGAAGTGCCTCTGCTCTCGTACTGCCCCACGTCCTTGCTTGCCTGGTCCCTATAAGACAGCCCACGCCCTGCACTCCCTCAGCCACTCCGCTACCCTCAAGGCAAGCATGACCTCCTTGTGCTGTTTCCTCCTCTCCTACATCTGCAGAGGTACACCCAGGGCTGGGCTGAAGATGCCAAAGCTGCTACTTAAGGAAGTGCACAGCAGCCAAGTACCACAGCCAGTGTCCAAGGCGCTTTCCATACTTAGACAAAGGCATTTTATTAATTTGTTCTTTTTTTGGGGGGGGGGTGGTACTAGGGATCAAACTCAGGATCTTGCACTTGCCAGGCAAGCACTTACTCCATTTTGCTATCTCCCCGGCCTAATTTGAACGTTCTGTGTGTGGTACTGGGAACTGAGCACACACTAGGCAGGTATTCTACCATTGTACTATATCCTAAAACCTTTAAAATTGTATTTTGATGTGGTAAGTTGCTTTGGATAGTGTTCTACTTGTGATCTTCCTGCCTTAGCTTCCTCATGTGGCTTGGGTAACAAGACAACAGCCACCACACTGGCTTCTTACTCATTTAATCTGACTCTTACTTCTCATTAGGAGGTGAGGGGACGACCCCCAAGTCAGTGAAGGAAAGGAGCTCTGTCCAGGTACCCGTGGAAAGTGAGCTGCCAGGGTGTCCAGAATGCCTCAGCTGCAGGGGACAAGGAAGGAAGGAGGAAGAAAATGAGGCCAGAGCTGCAACGGACATAGGACAGGAAACTCTCAAGAGGCTGGGGAAATAGCTCAGTGGCCTAAGTGTCTGCCTGGCAACACAAGGTCCTGAGTTCAATCCCTGGCACCCTCCAGCTCCCCCAAAATGCTCTCAAGAGAGGAGTCCAGGAAGGGATCATACTGCTGTGCCTTGGGCGGTGACACTTAGGGAGAAGGCGGTGAGGTACCAGGAGGTATATCCACCAACAGGAAGTTGGGCTAAGAGAGCCTGAAGATGGCGGGAGGAAGGCAACCCAAGCTTCCTCCTCAGATGAGTTCCTAGACCCCAGGCCAGGAGCGAGAGCTGTGCCTGCTGCTGCACCCCAGCTGTCTGCGCCCTGCAGACTGTGCCCCAGGGAACCAGGAGACCCAGAGCAGAGGCAGTGGGTGGCTGAGAGAGCCTACAGCTGAGCTGCAGGATGTGGCTGGTTCGCTTAACTGCGGATGCTGTTTTTAATGCTGCTGGGTGGAACTGAGCTGCTTTGCTTTCTGTCACTTTATTTGGAGAGGGGGCTCTTACAATCCATTGGCCCAGGCTGGCCTCTATCTCTGGAGGGTAAGCTGTCAGCTAGGTGTGAATATCACAATTAAAAGGCTGAATAGTGATAATAAAGCCAAGAGGACGGCAAGTTTGAGCTCAACCTGGGCAGTTTAGTGACTTAGCTTGTTTTTTCTTCATAATAAAAATTAATTAATGATGTAGCTCAGTGAGAAGGCCCAGAGCACTGAATTTAAAAAAAAAAAAAGCTGGAGAGTGGTGCAAGGCACAGGAAGTTAGCGGAGCCCAAGTATTCGGGGTCCAGACCCCACCTCAGTGTTGTGACTCACAGCTATGCTCGCCCAGCTCCCACCTCCCATCTTCTGGACTTGGAACGCTTGAGGACACAGCAGCCTCAGGATAGGGCCCGCACCACATACACCCTGACCTCAGCACCTGCAGGCTGGCCACTAGCCGGTCTTCCCAGGCCTGGTGCTCCTTGTGGAAGTATCAGCATCACCCTCACAGGATAGCCAGAAACCCCTACTCTGAAAGGGTTCCTGGCTAAGAACAGAAAGGATGGGGTGTCAGTGAGCTGGCCAGCATGGTCCCTTTGGGGTCTTCTAGCTCTAGGGCAGGTGGCAGCACATTGTTAGTGTTTCTATCCACTCTGCCTATCTTGAGTATGCCTTCTGTTTACCTGTTTGTGTTTGGATACTACCAAATTCTAAAGTAATAGCATTCCGGCATGCTACCCACTGACTATGGAAACATGCAGTGGGCACCTGAAGACTCCAGCCCAGTCCTCAAAAGGAAGATGTGGCTACTCCAGCCTCTCAGGGAGGCTGCTACCTTGCTGGGAACAGAAACACCTGAGGAAGGTAGCACACACAGTGTGGAGCAGGTGTGGGGCCCTCATCTGGAAGGGTGCCCAGGAGGCCGGGGCTGAGGGGAGTACGGGGGGGGAAGGGCCTGGCCCAGGTCACCAGATTCCACCAAAGGTGACAAAGAGGGCAGCGGAAGACACTGCTGCATGAGACACTGCCTCAGAACTGGTGTCTTCTAAGGACTGCTGACTTCCTTAGGTGTAAGTTATTTCAGTAAAAGAAAAGAAGCCCAAAAGGCAACATGTGCTCACAGGGCTGGACAGGCCGGCTGCAGAGTCCTCCCTAACCAGTACTGCCGACTCCCTGGAGGCTAGGCCAGGCTAGACAGCAGCCTCTGGCACTGGGGTGGCTTGTCAGGGCTCCCAACTTCCTAGCCATGGCCCCCAGCATCCCCTGGCCCAGCGCCCCAGACCACCTGTCAGTGTCCCTCCTGCTGCTCCACCTCCTCAGCAGACATAGCCTGGTTGGGCCTTGCACTCCATGGGGACCTGCCTCACACTCGTCCCACCTGGGCCAGAGGTGGCTTATACTGTTGCCATGATCCCTGACCCCAGAGCTACTATGTTTGTACCTCAAGCAAAAAAAGGAACATCCAGTTACATTAGAACCTCAGGTCAGCAACAAGGAGTAGTCTTCCCAAATACCTCACAAAAACTTACAATAAAATACTTGTCATCTAAATTTTAAATTTAACTGGTGACCTGCATTTTCTCCAGCAGTTCTGTGCTGTGTGGACAGCACCATTTGGTTTCTGCTTCTATCTATTAATATTTGGGCTATAAATAAACTCTACACAGGCAAAGAATTTAACTCAGTAGTTCAATGATGTAAACCCTGTGAAAATACTCAGAAAACTATAATCAAAATGAATTGTGTGGTCACTGGCATAAAATTATTTGAGATGCATTCATATCCTAAACTTAGCTTTAAAACTCAAATTACAGACACTAATATCTGCAAAGTACTTCTGGTATATCATTTTAAACTTAAATGCTATTTAGGACATTAATCATGACTTGGAGGGTTTCTCTGAAAGAGCTGACAGTATTAGTGTAAATAAAAAAAAATTCTGCTGTAATCTATTACCAATTTTCACAATAGGGAATGTGCACCTGGCTTGGAGAACTGAAAGAAAATGGCCAATATTACATTTTCAATATTTCCCTTTCAGATACATGGCAGCCAAAAGAACTTTACAATGTTTGAAATTCAAGAAGCTGCAGGGAGTACACAAGACAGCATCTTCTCGATGCTGGCAAACTCCCCGCTGGAGTCCAGATCCACCCCACCATTATGGGTGCAGGCCCGGTTCCTCACCCCCTTCTTGCGACCCCTCTTCTTGGAGGAGCTGGCCAGGCCCTGCTCAGTGGAGGAGGCTGCCTCTGGGCTGCTGGCCTCTGGGGGGATGTCGCTGGGCTCCTGTGGGCTGGTGGCATCAGGGGGTGTGGCAGCAGCTCTGGGGATGACACCTCCCAAGTGTTTCATGTCGCAGCACCAAGCTCATAGTGCCCCAATACCTCAATACAAAGGCCCACTTCTCTGGGGCTGCCTCCTCCACTTAACCCTGCAGATGGCCTCAAGCCCCAGAAGGGACATGGAAGGGTGCATGTAGGTGGTGTGTGTGTATAGGGGATATGTGTGTGTGCACGTGCGTGTGTGTGCGCAAGGGATCCAACCAAGCTATGCTCACTTCTACCCTGGACGCTTCCCTTTGCCAGCAGCCTGGGGCTGAGATCACTGGCACAGGTCACTGTGGTACGGTAAGCAAGAGGAAATCACAGCACCCCAGGCAACATGTGGTTCCCTAGCCTCCAAGAAGACTTCATGCTTTCCTCCCGCTTTCTGGCTCAGCTTGCCTGACAGGAAGCAGCAGTCCCTGCCTGTGTGGCCCAGCGGGCCCTCTTACCAGTGTGTGTGAGCATGTGCCTCTGCAGGGAGCTGGCCCAAGGGAAGACCCGGGGACAGTGGGGACAGCTGATCTTCTGTAGGCAGTTGGCATAGGAGTTCCGCCTTGCTCTCAGCAGCTTGTCCTCAGGCGGCCCACCCTGCTCCTCGTCACTGGGTCCGCTGGGGTCAGCAGGGCCTCCAGCCACCTCCTCCTGAGCGTCATCCTCTGCAGTCTGCAGAAAAGGGCTGAACTTGTTGGTGTCTGTGGTGGCCAGCATCTTCTCGATGCTGGCAAACTCCCCGCTGGAGTCCAGATCCACCCCACCATTATGGGTGCAGGCCCGGTTCCTCACCCCCTTCTTGCGACCCCTCTTCTTGGAGGAGCTGGCCAGGCCCTGCTCAGTGGAGGAGGCTGCCTCTGGGCTGCTGGCCTCTGGGGGGATGTCGCTGGGCTCCTGTGGGCTGGTGGCATCAGGGGGTGTGGCAGCAGCTCTGGGGATGACACCTCCCAAGCTGTCTATGGGGGCTGTGCTGCTGCTGGTATCCAAGGGCCCAGGGTTGGCTGCTTTGGTGGTTTTCAGCAAGGTGGGAGCCGAGGACACAGAGGAGATGATCTGGGCGATAGAGGCCAGGGGGGGCAACTCTTCAGTCACTGGCGGCTTTGGCAAGAGAAGGGGAGGCTTGGGTCGCAGGGGCCGCAGCAGGGCGGGGCTGCCCAGAAGGGCAGGGCTGCCCAAGAGGGCTGGGCTGCTGACAAGAGCTGAGGAGTAGATAGGCACAGCCAGCTGCACGGAGCCCTGGTGGGGCTGGGTGTGGGAGTCCAGGGGGGCTGCCGTGGTGGCCGCCACCACAGTAGCAGTGGGGCTTTCAGTTGGTGGCAGGGTGGAGCAGGGTGCTGGACAGGAGGCTGGCTGCTCAGCGCTGCCCCCCTCTGGCTCCAGCTTCTCGGCTTCCCCTGGAACAGCTGCATCCTTGTCTCCTTTCCTGCGGTTCTTGGGGATGGACAGGTCGATAGGCTCCATGGAGCAGTCATAGGGTGTCAAGGAGGAAGAGCTCAGGAAGGACACATTTTCCTGCTTCACCTGCACCAGTGCCAGGCCCTTCTGTGAAAAATCCAGGGGCTCACTGAAGTCCACAGCAAAGCTGCTGGCTGGCTCCAACTTGACAGCAACATGTGGAGGGGGCGGCTGGGTGGAGGCCCCATGAAGAAAGCCATTGTGGGGCTCCAGAAAGGCGGGGAGGGGCTTACAGTCGCTAAAGGCCACGCAGCCACCCTCTTCCACCCTCCCTGAGGTCTCGCTGGCCTCAGCGCTGCCTGGGCCACTGGTGGCTAGCACATAGCTCTCGATGTCCTGCTCAGGCACATGCAAGTGCTGCTTGAGGATGTGGTGGATGCAGTTGCGTTTGGCAGTGAAGGTGGCATTGCACTCCTTGCACTCAAAGGGTTTGCGTGTTTTGTGGCAGCCGCTCAGGCCGCGGCCACAGTGTGTGCGCATATGGATGCGCAGGGCACGGTAGTGCTTCAGGTCCTCGCCACACAGCCGGCACACCGTGTCGGGAGCACAGAAGGCATCCACCAGCTCAGCCGCACTGCTGCTCACATACTCAATGTTCTTCTCAATGTCCTTGCGTGTGGCTTTGAGGTGCTTCTTGCGCAGGTGCCGCTCACAGTTGGCCTTGACAGTAAAGGGGTAGTGACAGATCTTGCAGATGTAGGGGCGCTCACCGCTATGGGTGCGCAGGTGTCGGATGAGTGCGGCCTTGTCCGCTGCGATGTAGTCACAGATGTTGCACTGGTATGGGGAGATACCCAGGTGGGAGCGCACATGTGCACGCAGGACCCCCGAGAAGGCAAACACCTGGTTGCAGAAGCGACATGGATAGAGCACCTTGCGCACAGCGGGGGCCTTCTTGCTGCTGGGTCCCGTCATGATGGCCTTGAGGTCACCCTCTGTGATCTCCTGCTTAATCTTGGCCTCCATGCTCAGTGGCAGCAGGGCTTCGATGATGCTGTCCTGTTCAAGTTGTGTCTTCATCTCAGGCTGGCCTGCCAGCTCTGAGTGCGGCTGATGCAGGAATAGCTGCGGGGCTGAGTTTGGCTGTGCTCCGGACCTGGACTGCAGGAGGTGGGCGGTGGCGGCTGCCTCCACTGAACCCTTCAGCAGCTTCAGCGGTGGTGGTGGGAGGCTGGGGCTGATGCAGCCAGGGGAGGCCTGCTGGGCGCTGATGAGAGGCGGGGGTGTGGAGGTGGTCACCACTGTGCGGGGCGTGACCAGGGGCTTTGGCTTCAGAGGGGGCATGTGCTTGAAAATTGCCTGCAGAGGGGTGGCAGGGGCCTTGGAGAGCGGGGGGAGAGTGATCTGTGGTGGGGCGGATGCTGCCATTTTCAGGATCTGCTGGATGTCAGCCAGCTCGATAGCTGACTCCCCGGAGATTGGCTTGACCACGATGCTGCTGTCGGGCTGGATGATGAAGCCTTTCTGGAAGGGCTGCAGAGACAGATGCTTCATGCCCTCCTTGGTGGCCGGGAGCACTGTGAGAGAGCCACCACGGGAGGCTGCTTCGTAGGGAGAAAGGCTCAGCACGCTGGTGCCGCTGGGGTCCTGAGGTAGTGGGCACTTAAGTGCTTGCAGCTGTATTGCTTGGTTGTCGTCTGGCAGAGGCTCCTCGGTGGGTGCAGGCCTCACATCTTTGGTGTGCTGCAGGCCCAGTAAGGCCAGGAAGACCTTCTGGTCCAGGGCATCACTGGCCAGGACATTGGCCTGCAGCTTTTCCTGGCCCTGGTCCACAGTGACATGGGTCTGCTTGTGCAGGGCAAGCGAGGACAGCATGGGGAATGCTTTGTCACAGGTGTCACAGACGAAGCGGTGCTGCTCACTGATGCACCTTCTCAGGTTTGTTTCACACCAGGCCTGTATGGAGCCAGAGGACAGAAGCCAGGGAATGAAAACAGAAACATCACAGGGAGCATCTGAGGTGTACCTGTGCCAGTGTGCAGCCTTTCTCTGTTAAAATGTGAGGTCTGACCCTCCCTGGACTGCTGCCTCGGGGCTGAAGCCATGAGACTGCAAAGCATCTAAGAAACCATGCCCAGCCCTCTGCAGGGGGCTCACACCACCACGGAGGTGCAGGTCTCCATCTTCCTAGAAGCTGGGTGAACCAGGGAGTGGGGGGCACTGTGGCGGCACTGGTGATTTACGGATCTACACACAGGGAAAACTACAAACTGGAAGCTTGTGTGTTTGTCAGTTTTACAAAATGGAAAGACAACTTTAAAGTACTTTTAGCAGGTTCCTTATGAGCAGATAACAAATAAGGTTCTCTTCTTGAACACTGTATGCTCTGTACTCTAGTTTCCAGGCTGGTTCTTTTAACAGATACCACAATGCTAGGCATATATATGTAGATGTTAGGGAAAGATTAAAACATGTGAATTCAAGTTACAGTAGGATTTAGGTGTGGGTGGTAAATAACTCACACGCTAATGTCCAGTCCCAAGAATGACAAAAAGCACTGTTGAGCCAGACCCACACCATCCACCGCTCTCAACCAAATGACCCAAAAGAGACTGAAAGGGCCAGTGGGTCATTTTTTTATTTTACTTTTTGGATTAGGGATTGAACCCAGGGCCTTCACAATGATTTATGTACCTGGTCCTTTTTCTTTTCTTTCTTCCTTTTTTTTTTTTTTTAATTTTGAGACAGGGTCTCACTAGTTGCCCAAGCTGTGTTCCAACTTGTGATCCTTCTGCCTCACCTTTCAGGATACTAGGATTACAGGTGCGTACCACCACATTGGGCTCCAAGTTGAATTTTAGGAGAAAGTGGGTTATAAAAAAAAAAAAAAAAGATAAAATTCAGTGGATAACATTTTAAGGAAAAAAAGCTTCAGGGTGAGGGAGTTTAGTCTAATGAGTGGCCTGGAGCCACCAGGCATAATACCTGAGAAATGCGAGGAAACTTCCTACAGGAGAAATCTGTGAATCCTAGGTCATGGAAGCCAGCAGGAATTGAAGGGTTGCTCTGGATGAAAGGTCTTCCCATTGAGTCACGGGGAAGCTGTTTGTGGACAAGTGCGTTGTGGCGTAGCAGTCCTCGATGTGTTCGAAAGGTGACACAACAAATGTCACATCTAGGAAAAGGGAGAGGCAAAGATTTAAGAAGGCGGCTTAGTCAGGTCTCCACTTAGCTGTCAGCTTTAGTATAGCTTCTGCTGCTCCCTTCAACTGAACAGCTAAGAATGAGACAGCAAAAAGCCGTTGTGCTCATGGTTAGCACCAGAGAGACTTGCATTTATTTTGTCAATAATATTCTGCCAACTGTGAACACCAAAGCTTTGCAGGCAGTAAGAAGAAATGTATTTAGGACAAACATCCAAAGTCTGTGCATGAGGAGAGGGGAGGCGGGACCCCAAAGCCACCAGCGCAGACTCACGCATGGGACCCTTCCAGGTAGAATGAAAGGGATCATTTCAGAGGCTTTCTCCTTCCCCCAGCTCACTGGATTTAGTTACTATAAAATGTTTACATGGCAATAATGCAGACATTTCTGTAGCACCTACAGTGATGATGTCAGCATCACTGGCAACTGATACAAGGAAAATAATTAAATGACATGACTGAATTGGTGGCCAAGTACCATGACTGCGCATTCAATTCGGACATTATTACTGTTGTTATCTGAAAAATGTCTGCACTCCCTGCATCTGGAACCCACAGAAAGCATGACACAATGCCATGGCCACACCATGGTCACGCAATGGCAGCAGGCAGGGGGTATCACTGGCCTCATCTTACAGATGGGAACAATGAGGCTCAACAGGCTACTCAGAGTGACCGGCTACGCAGCCAGGAGAAAGCAAAGGTTAAGGTCCTGCTCCTGTCTTTGCCTGTCCCAAGGCTGCAACCCTTCCTTGAGACTCCCACAGATGACCTCTGCTTCAAAGTCATGACGCTTCATTTGGAGATGACTGCTGACATCCTACAATGTTTTGAACCACAAAGGCGATACAAGCAATGGTCTCTACTTTTTGTACCAGTGCCATCCTCTAGTCTTCACTGAGAACCAGTCAAAAAATGCTGCAGTACTCACGTTATCAACATCCCCTGGGCCTGCTCTAAATCGAGGCACTACATGCACATGTGACTGTTGAAATTCCTCATTCACACTGGCCTGTTTGCCCTGGACTCCAGTGAGGCAGGGCAGACATGGCTCTCCGCCTGCACGGTGGGGGCTGTGTGTGCCCAGCATCCTTCCACATGCAGCCTCATTACCCTGGCTTTCCAGAGATGTAAAGCAATGCACACCCATCTACATTGTTTATACTTTAATGGAAACTTTTTTGGTTATGAAATTCTTCTCTGGAATAAAGAGATGAGGAAATTAGCCAAAAATTAGCTGAGGTTACTTTGCTGAAGTGCTGAAAGAAAGAAGAGTGCTGCTCTATCATGCTGTGCTGGGGCACAGAGGAACACAGTTCTGTCATAGGTCCACCTTTTTCCTCCTCTCTGCTAATTGGGGACACCTCCCCAGTGAGAGTCCTGTCATCACACAGCTACATGTAGAATGCCAGCTTCTATGAACCACTCATAATACAGCTCTTTTTTGGGAGGGGTAGTTTGCTGAGTTCCCCACCTTGGCCAAAGTCCCAGGGAAGGGCTCAATTCAGACAACCCAGAAGGCCTGAGGGACTGGAACCATCTGAGCCCATGTCTGTACCTCCCCAGGCAGGGTGTGCCCTAGGAGACAGAGTCCCAGCCAAGGGAACCACTTCTTTATGAGGTGTCCGAAGGCCCAAGGCTTAGGGAGGAGACAGAGCTTCCACTGGGAAGCAGCATGGATGCAGCCACCCTGCGCCGGGGTGCTTCTTTTTTTTGGTGGAACCAGGGCTTGAACTCAGGCAAGCGCTTATTTTACTGAGCCATCTCCTCGGCCCTCCCCCAGGGTGCTTCTGACCAGAACATGTCTCAGCCCTAAGCTGCACACTCCGAGGGGACTATGACCTTGTTGGAGGCTGAGTCCAAGTGCTGACCACTGTCCTGAGCATAATGGGTTATGGCATGCTGATGGAGAAAATACACATGTTAGAGAGGCTTTGTTCAGGCATGAGTTACCCCGGTGTTCTGAGCTCAATGAATTAACAGCATCTGAAACAAGGTAACTTCACAGGACTGTGAGTGAAGTCACTTCACAGGCCAGCCTCAATGGACAGCAAGACCATGTCTCAAAAAACCAAAACAAGCAAGTAAACAAACAAACAAAAAACCCCATACAACAAGTGTATGTGCTGAACAACTGACAGAAAGGTGAAAAGCACCAAGGAACATAACCCTGCATTTTCCTGGGGACCAGTGACTCAGTATTTGCTAATTTTGTTTACAGTGACTTTAGAGAACCCAACAAACAAACAAACAAAAGGGTAGTTGGATCCTCGTAACCACAGGTTCTGTATCCAGACTCAACCACCCCTGGACTGAAAATATTGGATAAAACTCATCTGTGCCGAAGATGCTTTGCTCCCTTATTGTGAAGCCCGCCCCACAGTAACTGGGGCTAGTGAGATAGCTCAGCGGCCTAAAGCGTCTTCTTAGGCAAGCTTAGGCAAGTGCGCAGGGACTGAAGTTTAATCCTTGGCAGTATATGCTGCACCAACCCTGCCCCCACCCCCAGGGTAGGCAGAGCTGGCTGCACGCCTGCGTGCGTGTACACACACACACACACACACACACACACACACACACACACACACAGAGTTACAGATGTTCAATATTCACAAGCAAGATTTCCCAGCACCAATCACAAGTCCTGCATCTCAGGGAAGGCTGTGGGGCTGGGGGAGGAGGGAGGTCAGGGCCCAGACATAGGGACAGGAGAAGTTATCAGCATGACTTGGACAACTTATGCAATACCTCCCAATATGCCAGAGGGGAGATGCCTTTGTGACCTTATTCAAAAAGGAGATTCCTCACCCCAGCCCTGATCTACTTGAGTCAGTATGTCGGCGCAGGGAAGAGGGTAGGCCTAGAAACTTGCATGAAGCAGACCCACCAGGGGATGCTTAACAGTTAGGCAAGCCTGAAAAGTGAAGAACTAAAATCTAGAAACATCTTTAGCTACAAGTGCATGAAAGGCCAAGGAGAAAATACTGAGCACAAGGTTCTCACCTTTGTAACTTGTTTCCTTTCTAAGCCTGTTTCCCTTCTCACCTGGGATGGGGATCTTTGGCGCCAACTTGAAAAATAGATAATGAAATGCTTGGAAACCTCAAGGTACTATTCCACATTTAACAATTATTTTCTCTTGCCAGGGCAAAAAGAAATCTGGAAAAGCTGACTTCCTGGCACGTGTTCGTAAACATGAAAATGCAGGAAAGGTGGGGCTTTAATTTCTAGCATGTTCTCTTTTCATCCTAGATCCTCCAGTGGTCCTCAGTACTTTGGTTTCATATTGAGATGCCTGCAGAGAAGCACATGATGCGTCTATGGAGCCCTCTGTTACACTCTCGTCCTCATCCCTGCCACCTCCTGGGGCCTCAGCTCCAGAGAGAGCAACACTTCCAGCCTGACACCTACCTGCAGCCTCCAGGTGTAAGGTGAGGTCTAGACCTGCACCTCACACTCCATCTTCATGGGCTCTCAGTCTAGGCACTGTTACCCGGGCCCCCAGCACAGCACCTCAGCTATGCTACCAGGCTGGCCTCGAATGGTTCTTCTGCCTCAGCCTCCTGAGTAGTGCCACTACAAGTAGGCACTGCCACATCCAGCTTCTATTCTACTTCTGAAAAAGCCCATTTTGCTTTGAAACTAAAGTACACTCCAAGGTCAGCTAGAAGGGGTAAACACCCACAGAAAAACACTTGTCTTTCTGCCCTACAGGCCACACCTGTGGACACACCTTAAAACCAGCATGGTAATCCAGCACTCAGAAACTCAGGCAGAGACACTGGGGCCCCATCAGCCCTCCCAAGGCCCTGGAAGAATGTGCAGCTCAAGGACAGCAGGATCACTAAAGCTGTGCTCCAGGTTGCAGGATGCGGAGCCCACAGCACGCTTCACTCTCAGCGGTAAGGTACCACCTGGCTCAGGCTTGCCAAGCTTAATTAGGGGCATGGGTGGGGTGGCCCCGGACTCCCCTTACCCCCATTTGTGAGGTATCTCAACTCTGTCAGGGACTTGATAGAGGATTGCAAAATATTTATAGACAGGGTAGAACTCCAATTACAGGGTCACAGCAGAGGGAGAGGGCTGTAGGTCAATTTAATTTTGCAAGAGATTTTGACAGTGTGCCAGAGGAAAATTTTACAAATCTTTTTTTATTTTTATTTTTT